TGTAAGTATAGTAGTAGTAGTAGTAGGTAAATGGTAGCAGTCGTATTAGTAGTAGTAGCAGTAGTAGTAGTAGTAGAGTAGTAGTAGTAATAGTAGTAGTAGTAGTCAAGAAGTAGTAGTAGTAGTAGTAGTAGTAGTAGTAGTAGTCGTAGTGGTGGTAGTAGTAGTAGTAGTAGTAGTAGTAGTTGTGGTAGTAGTAGTAGTCGTAGTCGTAGTAGCAGTCGTCGCAGCAATAGTAGTAGTAGTAGTAGTAGTAGTAGTAGTAGTAGTCGTAGTAATAATAATCGTAGTCGTAGTAGTAGTAGTAGTAGTAGTAGTAGTAGTAGTAGTAGTAGTAGTAGTCGTCGTAGTAGTAGTAGTGATAGGGGAGTAAGTAGGAATAGGAATCATAGTAATAACACTAGGAAGAGTCGTCGTTTTAGTAGTAAGAGTAGCCGTCGTAATTGTCGTCGTAGTCGTAGTCGTAGTCGTAGTCGTAGTCGTAGTCGTAGTCGTAGTAGTAGTAGTAGTAGTAGTAGTAGTAGTAGTAGTAGTAGTAGTAGTAGTAGTAGTAGTTTAGTAGTAGTAGTAGTAGTAGTAGTAGTAGTAGTAGTTTGAGTAGTAGTAGTAGTGGTCGTAGTAGTGGTAGTAGTAGTGGTAGGAGGGAGGAGGAGGGGGAGGAGGAGGAGGAGCGAGGATAGGGAGGAGGAGGAGGGAGGAGTTCGAGTAGGAGGAGAAGGAGGCAGGAGGAGGAGGAGGGAGGAGGAATGAGGTGAAGAGGAGGAGTCGTAGTAGTAGTAAGTAGTTAGTAGTAGTAAAGTAGTAGTAGTAGTAGTAGTAGTAGTAGTAGTCAGTAATAGTCACCAGCAGCAGAGCAGACAGCAGCAGCAGTCGTAGTAGTAGTAGTAGTGTAATAGTAAGTAGTAGTAGTTAGTAGTAGTAGTAGTTAGTTAGAGTAGATAGTAGTTTGGACCAGTTAGTAGTAGTAGTAGTCGTAGTAGTGGTAGTGGTAGTGGTAGTGGCAGTAGTAGTAGTAGTAGTAGTAGTAGTAGTGGTAGTAGTGGTCGAAGTAGTAGTAGTAGTAGTGGTAGTAGTCTTAGTAGTAGTAGTAGTAGTAGTAACAGTCGTACTAGTTGAAGTAGTGGTAGTGGTAGTGGTAGTACGGAGTAGCAGAAGTAGTAGTAGTACTAGTAGTAGTAGTAGTAGTAGTAGCAGTAGTAGTAGTCGTAGTAGCAGTAGTAGTAGTAGTAGTAGTAGTAGTAGTAGTAGTAGTAGTAGTAGTAGTAGTAGTCGTAGTAGTAGTAATAGTAGTGGTGGTAGTAGTAGTGGTAGTACTAGTAGTAATAGTAGTACTCGTAATACTGGAAGTAGTAGTGGTAATCGTCGTAGTAGTAGTCGTAGTAGTACTAGTAGTGGAAGTAGTAGCACTGGCAGTAGTAGTAGTCGTAGTAGTAGTAGTAGTAGTAGTAGTAGTAGTAGTAGTAGTAGTAGTAGTAGTCGTAGTCGTAGTAGTAGTAGTAGTAGTAGTAGTAGTAGTAGTAGTAGTAGTAGTAATTATAGTAGTAGTAGTAGTCGTAGTAGTAGTAGTAGTAGTCGTAGTAGTAGTAGTAGTAACTAGTAGGTAGTAGTAGTGGTACTAGTATAGTAGTAGTAGTATAGTAGCAGTAGTAGTATAGTAGTAGTCGTAGTCGTAGTAAGTAGTAGTATAGTAGTAGTATTAGTAGTAGTTGGATGAGTAAAGTCGTAGGTGAGTAGTAGTAGTAGTAGTAGTAGTAGTAGTAACAGTAGTAGTGGTAGTAGTAGTAGTAGTATTAGTGGTAGTTGTAGTAGTAATACGTAGTAGCAGTCGTAGTAGTAGTAGTAGTAGTAGTAGTAGTAGTAGTAGTAGTAGTAGTAGTAGTAGTAGTAGTAGTATTCGTGGTCGTAGTAGTCGTCGTAGTCGTAGTAGTAGTAGTCGTAGTAGTAGTAGCAGTAGTAGTAGTTGTATTAGTCGTAGTAGTAGTGGTAGTAGTAGTAGTAGAGGTAGTAGTGCTAGTTGTTCTAGTAGTAGTAGTAGTAGTAGTAGTAGTAGTAGTAGTAGTAATAGTAGTAGTAGTAGTAGTAATAATAGTAGTGGTCGTAGTCGTACAAGTCGTAGTGGTAGTAGGTAGTAAGAATAATACTCGTGGTAATCATAGAAATGTTCCACATCCTCCTCCTCTTCCTCCTCCTCCCCCTCGTCCGGTGTTCGGCGGCCCTGGGGCCCAGAGCTGTTTTTCGGCGGTCCCTGGGCCCAGGAGCGGCGTCCAAAACATTAAGGGCTGTGCTGGGTGGTGGCGGACGCATGCGGGCGGTGCCACTGGGACATTCGGTGGAGCTGCCTATGGGGCCACGAAGCGCTGTAGTGTGCGGGTGAAACGCAGGGAGCAAAGGCTGTGCTGGGTGGTGGCGGACGCATGCGGGCGGTGCCACTGGGACCTTCGGTGAAGCTCCCTCAGGGGGCCACGAAACGCTGTACTGGGTGGTTGAAACGCAGGGAGCAAGGGCTGTGCTGGGTGGTGGCGGGCGGTGCCACTGGGACCTTCGGTGGAGCCCCCTATGGGGCCACGAAAGGCTGTACTGGGTGGGTGAAACGCAGGGGGCAATGGCTGTGCTGGGTGGTGGCGGACGCATGCGGGCGGTGCCACTGGGACCTTCGGTGGAGCTCCCTACGGGGGCCACGAAACGCTGTACTGGGTGGGTGAAACGCAGGGAGCAAAGGCTGTGCTGGGTGGTGGCGGACGCATGCGGGCGGTCCCACTGGGGGCTTCGGTGGAGCTCCCTATGGGGCCACGAAACGCTGTGCTGGGTGGGTGAAACGCATGGAAGAGGGAGGAGGGAGGAGGGTAGGGAAGAGGAGGAGAAGAGGAGAGGACCACAGGATGGTTGGGACAAATACCAACGAAACTGCATCCCCCCCTCTTCGCCCTCCTCGCCCTCGCGGTTTTTGGCGGCCCCAGGGCCCGAAGCGAATGAATCCAATCGGATTCTATAGGGTCCTAGAGGACCCTATAGGACTCCCATGCGGCCTCAGGGCGCGGGGTAGGGTGCGTTGCATTGCGTTGCGTTGCACCAGGGGGTGGGTGGGTGGGCGGGCGCCAGCTTAGTGGCTTCGTCAAAACAACAACAACCACAACAACAACCACAACAACAATAATGACAACAACACCGCTAACACCACCACCACCAGCAACAACAACAACCACAACCACAACCACAACCAATTAGCCTGGCGAAGGACCCAACCATATGCAATTGTGAATACTGTTGTTGTGTGCTCCGCATTCGGAGGAGCTCCCTTCTAGGGCCACGAAGCGTGTGAGGGGTGTGCCAAACGTTGTCCGGTGGGAGCATGCGAAACCAGCCCTTGGGGCCGTCGGTAGAATTCCTTATGAGGCCACGAAGCGCGTGAGAGGTGTGCCGAAATAGGTGCGGTGGGCGCATGCGAACGCAACCACTGGGGCCGTCGGTGGAGCTCCCTATGGGGCCGCGAACGGTGATGGGTGTGCCGAAATGGGTGCGATGGGCGCATGTGAACGCAACCACTGGCGCCGTCGGTGGAGCTCCCTATGGGGCCACGAAACACGTGATGGGTGTGCCGGAATGTGCGTGGGTGACGCATGCGGGCGGTGGCACTGGGGCCTTCGTTGGAGCTTCTTATGGGACCACGAAACGTGGGAGGGGTGTGACAACATGGGTGTGGGTGGCGCATGCGGGCGGTGGCACTGGCGCCTTCGGTGGAGCTCCCTATGGGGCCACGAACAAGTGAGGGGGGTGCGGAAATAGGGCGGCGCCGCCATGCGAACTGCGCCATGGGGCCCTGAGGTGGAGCTCCGTATGGGGCCACGCAACGTGTGAGAGGAGTGCCAAACTGAGGCGGCGCCGCCATGCGCAGCTTGCCACTGGAACCGTAGGTGGAGCTCTCTATATGTGCCCAAGAAACGCGGGAGGGGTGTGACGAAAGGGGGCGGCGCCGCCATGCGAACTGCGCCACGGGGCCCTTAGGTGGACCTCCCTATGGGGCCCCGAAACGTGTGAGAGGAGTGCCGAAATGGGGCGGCGCCGCCATGCGAACTGCGCCACTGGGACCTTAGATGGAGCTCCCTATGGGCCACGAAACGTGTGAGGGGTGTGCCAAAATGGGGCGGCGCCGCCATGCGAACTGCACCACTGGGACCTTAGATGGAGCTCCCTATGGGGCCACGAACCGTGTGAGGGGTGCGCCAAAATGGGGGGCGCCCCCATGCGAACTGCACCACTGGGACCGTAGGTGGAGCTCCCTATGGGGCCACGAACCGTGTGAGGGGTGCGCCAAAATGGGGCGGCGCCGCCATGCGAACTGCACCACAGGGACCTCAGATGGAGCTCCCTATGGGGCCACGAACCGTGTGAGGGGTGTGCCAAAATGGGGCGGCGCCGCCATGCGAATAGATGGAGCTCCCTATGGGGCCACGAAACGTGTGAGGGGTGCGCAAAAATGGGGCGGCGCCGCCATGCGAACTGCACCACTGGGACCTTAGATGGAGCTCCCTATGGGGCCACGAACCGTGTGAGGGGTGCGCCAGAATGGGGCGGAGCCGCCATGCGAACTGCACCACTGGGACCTTGGGGGGGCTTCGTATGGGGGCACGAACCGTGTGAGGGGTGCGCCAAATTGAGGGTGACGAGAGGAGAGAGGAGGGGGAAGGAGGAGGAAGGAGGGGGAGGAGGAGGAGAGGAGGGACGCGGGCCACCGTCTCTTCAAAACGAGGACCCAACACCACAGGATGGTTGGGAAAAACAACACCAACGCCACCAACAACAACAAACCGAACAAACGATTCGCGACAGAAGATCCACACCGGAGAGTGCGACACACGTGCACACGAGTGGAATTGACATGGGGTGCTCTTCCTCCTGCTGCCTGACTTCTTTCATGAGCAGATTTCTCGCCTCTTCGTCGCCGATTCCCCCCCCTTGTGAAATTGAAAGCTTCGGCGAGCGAAGCGGAAATCTCTGGTCGCCTCAAGCCTGCTGTCGAGCAGCTGCAGCTCGCTCACGAGGTCGTGGACGCCCTGCAGCGACTCGTCCTGCAGCGACGACCTCCTGCTACGGCGAAGCAGTCGCAGCTCGCTTACAAGCTCGTGGACATCAACCAGCTGGGCTCGCTGCTGGCGGAGCAAAGACAGTATCTGCATGGTCTCGATTGGCACGTTGGACAGCGCGAGCTTGCAAGCGCCCTCGATGAACTCCACAGACGCCACCTCCCCCGGAAGCAGAAACGTGTGCCGGTGCCCACTGCCCTTCTTCTCATCTTTTCGTTTGGGGGAAAGCCCGCGGGGGGGAACGGAGGAGCGGGTTAGGAATCGGAAGAAGCTTTCTGCTAAGGACCTTGCCGTCGTTGTCTTGGTCAAGGTAGTCGAAAAGGTCCTTCAGCGTGTCCCCCTGCAACAACGGATGCAAGCTCGGTGGCAAATGGATGCCCTTGCTCGCGGAAACTTCTTTCAACCGCTCCAACTCCTCCCGGTCCAACTTATCGTCCTGGGTTGGGTCCGCGGCGCACAATTTTCGCTTGGCGCGAGCGGGCGGCAATGTCGCTCTCCCCTCGGCCCCGCGCAGATTTCGTTGGGAACTGGCACTCCCGCCTAGGCGTGGCGCACAGTTTGAACTCGCCAAGTAGTTGGGGGCAGGGCCGCGCGCGAGCGGGGGCGACTTGTCACCCCCACGTGAACTCTGTGCAGATTTCGCGTGGAAGTGGCGTTCCCGCGCGGGTGCGGCGCAGTTTCCAATCGCTGGGCCGGTGAAAGCGACATGCGACATCGGCCGCGGGGCCGCGCCAGAGCGGGCGAAACGATGTTGCGGTTGGCCCCCTCTGGGTGGAACCAGCTTCTCCGCGCTGCGTGAGCTGGGCCAGCCCGTGCGCTCCCGCTTGACTTGACTTACGCCGCGCTGCCGGGCGTGTAGCCGCGACGTCAACAAGTGTGTGTGTGTGTGTGTGTGTGTGTGTGCGCCCGTAGCCTTAGCCCAAGCCTTCTGGCTCAAGCCGCTCTGGCTCGAGGTTCGCCGAGCTGGCCGCGCTCCTGGGGCAGGGGTCGCGCCTGGCGGGCGCTAAGAAGGAGGGCGTCTCTCCAAGCGCCCACCCATCCCAGCGCCCGCCCCCGCGCCGTGTCTTCGGTACCTGACGGGCCGTTGGACAAGCGCAAGGTCGTCCTGGACCTGGACGGGGACAAGAGCATCTGCGAGGACAGGCTGGAGGACCTTACGGGCCTGCACAAAAGCAAATTCGGCATGGACCTGGGCGAGAACGAGAGCCTCTGCGAGGACAGGCTGGAGTTCCTGAAGGGGCTGTGCAAGCGCAATGTCGGCGTAGACCTGGACGACGAAGAGAGCCTCCGCCAGGACAGGCTGGAGGTCCTTAAGGGCCTATACGAGCGCAAGTTCGTCCTGGACCTGGACGAGGATGGGAGCCTCTGCGAGCACAGGCTGGAGGTCCTGAAGGGGCTGCTCACATGCAAATTCAGCATTGGCCTCGACGGCGACGAGAGCCTCTGCGAGGCCAGGCTGCAGGACCTGAAAGGCCAGTACAAGCGCAAGCTCGGCATGCACCTGGACGAGGATGGGGGCCTCTGCGAAAACAGGCTGGAGGATCCGAAGGGCCAGTACAAGCGCAAGTTCGGCCTGGACCTGGACGGGGACAAGAGCCTCCGCGAGGACAGGATGCAGGACATGAAGGGCCCGTACGAGCACAAGTTCGGCCTGGACCTGGACGAGGACGAGAGCCTATGCGAGTACAGGCTGCAGGACCTAAAGGGCCTGTACAAGCGCAAGTTCGGCCTGGACCTGGGCGAGGACAAAAGCCTCGGCGAGGACAGGCTGGACCTGAAAGGACTGTACAAGCGCAAATTCGGCCTGGGCTTGGGCGAGGACGGGAGCCTCTGCGAGGACAGGCCAGATGACTTTGATGGGCCTGTGCTAGCGCAAATTCGGTGTGTGTGTGTGTGTGTTTGTGTTTGTGTTTGTGTTCTTTTTGGTGTGTGTGTGTGTGTGTGTGTGTGTGTGTGTGTGTGCGTGCGTGCCTCTTGTGTCAATTTACCTCGAGTTGCGTTGTCTCCTCGGTTCTCTGGCCGCTGCACGTTTCGCCTGGATTTGCAGCTTTTCCTTCACACCACCCGCCGTGACTGCGGTGACGGACGCTTGCGCCGAGGATTACCGCAGTGCCCCCAGGGCGGGGAGCGTGTCACCCCCGTCCCTGGCGTCTTCTGCCACGTCCCCCTCAATGCCATCGGAGCCCTGGCCGCCGCAATCAAGAAGGTACAGCGGGCAGGCCCAGTGCGGCCTGGGCCAGGTTTTGTACTCTGCGCGGTGGGGGCACCAGGGGCCCCGGCCAGCATGTCGCCGCGCCTTCCTTCGCATGTTCCCCCCGATCAGGCTGCAGCAGGCCCTCCGTGCGCTGGGTCGCTTCCAGCACGGAATGCGCCCCTGGCTGCGGGGAAAGCTCCATCCTTTGCCGTCGGTGCACCTATTCAGTGCCCCCCCCCCCCTCCCCCCTCACATCTGCAGACCGCTCACGGCCGCATGCTGCGTACCCGTGAGAAGGCGGATACCCCCCGACACGCTCGGTGGTGTGCAGGGCGACGCGGGTAGGCGGGGACCCCATTCTTCCCAGGAAGGTCCTCTCCTCGCCGCCGCGCACCTCGCCGAGAGCTTCCCCGGGACGCCTGATTCGTCCCGCCCGTCGTCGGCCTCGCCGAAGTGCCCCCCGTCGGAGGAGAGTTTTTTCGTGGACTGCTGGTGGCCACGTGACGGGAAGCGGAAGAGGTTGGCGGCGAAGACCACCAGAACCCCCTGACCACGAGCCCCCCCGGCGGAGGTGACGGGAAGCAGAAGGACCCGCCGAATCTGCGGTGACGGGCGCTCGCGCCGAGGATCACCGCAGTACCCCCCAGGACGGGGAGCGTGCTACCCCCGGCCCTGGCGTTCTCTGCCACGTTCCCCCAATGCCTTCGGAGCCCTGGCCGCCACAACCAAGGAGGTACAGCGAGCAGGCGGTGGACCAAGTGCGGCCTAGGCCATCTGCGCGGTGGGGGCACCAGGGTCCCCTGCCGACACGGCGCTGCCTTCCGTCGCATTTTCCCATTTACCACCTGGAGGGTGTCTTGCCCTGCCGCTGCACCCCCCCGCTTTGGCCGGGGATTCGCCAGCCTTTTGCAAGTTTTGTCCAGGCTTCGCCTGTGGCACCCTCCGCCGCTTTGCCGCGCCCCGTGCCTGGCAGGCCGATCTCGGCTGCTTCTTGCCAAGTCCCCCCTCGCCAGCTTGGTTTTCAGGCCGGCCTCTCGTCCATGCGCCAGCCTACTGGTGGATGGGTTGCTGCCGCGCTGCCGTGGCGCCTTGCACTGGCTTCCCCCCTCCCCGCGCCTCGGAGGTCACCAGATCTCGGCGCCCGCCCGCCCCTGCTGGCCATCCCAGCTCCGCGCCGCTACCCCTGATGGCATGGCTCCGCCTCTTCGTCCCTTGTCCATCGCCTTCACGCCAGCCTGCTCTTGCCGCGCTCATTGCAGCGCACTCGTGGCAGCCTGCGCTCCGCCCTTCTCACCTCTCGCCGCGCCTCGTAAGCTACCAAATCTCGGCGCTTCGCCTAACCGCTGGGTTCGCCTGCGCCGCCGGCTCCCCCATTGGTGTGGTGACTGCGTCAACATGTGACACGTTTTTCTCCTGGCAGCCGTTTGCTGCTTGTCCAACGTCAGCCCCCACGGTACTCCGACGGACTGATATTGATTGGCTGGTCGTTCCAGTCCTGCCCATGTGGTACCTGCTCTCCCACCTGGCTTTGCCTGGCCGCCGCTGGGCTGCGTTCCCCCCCCAGCTGCTGCCCGGTGCCGCGCCGCGGCTGGCCCCCCCCCCCCCTCGGCGCTCCCTCCGCCGCAGCCGGTGACTTGCCTGAGCGGGCCCGGCTTCCTCTCTTCCCGTCGCGCCGGGGTCTCCTCCTCTCCTCACGCGCACTGCGGCCCAATTTGCATCTAGCGCGCCCCACTGATGCCCGATCGCCGGAGCAGTAACCTCTGCCGAGCTGCCGACGCAAAAGTGTGTGAGTGCCTCTTGTGCCAGTTTACCTCGAGTTGCATCGTCTCCTCGGTTCGCTGGCCGCTGCACGTTTCGACTGGATTTGCAGTTTTCCCTTCACACCACCCATCGCTGCACATGACAGTGTGCACGGATTGTGCGCTGTTTCTTCGACAATGCTCGGTCGCAATTGGCACTTCCATTTGCCGTCCGCGCCTGAGGATCCTCTGCGTCGCCGACTTAAAAGTGTGTGCCTCCTGTGTGCCTCCCCTATTCTCCTTCTCTGTTCTTGTTAGGCACCCCTGCGGAAGGGGGACCTTTGGCACTCCCAAGGCACTGGCACCTGGTCCATCAGGGCCAGCGTGCCAGGGGACCCGTTGGGAGGGGGCCAGGCCCAACCAAACGAATGCTCCCAGAGCCCCGCCAGGCCTCCTTTTTTACAACCTATCCTTCGGGGCACTCGCCTCGTCGACACTTGTTTTCATGCCCAGCTGCACTACAACGTCGACTTGTGCGGAATTCTCGGGATGCCTGCCGACCTCCTGACTCGCGGTCTCGCGTCTGATTTGCCTGTTCTGGATGATCCGTACGGCGTGCTTGCCCTGCACGCTCTATCCTGTCTTCCTCGTCCCTCTCTCCTCCCTCGTTCCATCCTCCCCCTGCCGCCCCCCCCCTCCTGGAGGCTCGGCCTCCCGTAGGCTGTCACATGTTGATGCTGCGAGCGCATTTTTTTTTTTGTTCTCTCTCTCTCTCTCTCTCTTTCTACCTCTCTCCCGTGCTCCGCGTCACTCTCTTCTCCCGTCGTCGTTGTCGTCGTCTCCTTCTCCCCTTGCCGCCCCCCCCCCTTCCCGATCAGACGGTGCGGGCGCTCTTCTACGGCCGTGCGGCACGGCCCATCCCTGCTGCCTTGGAGTGCCGCTCTCTTCAAAGCGGCCTGGTACGGCGATGAACTGCCACCCCACTTCCGCTTCGCCCCTGCCTGTTCGTCCCCTCCCCTCCGCCTCTCCTTCTCCCCTTGCCACCACCACCTCCCGGAGGCTCGGCCTCCCGTAGGATTGTCAGATGTTGACGCTGCGAGCGCGCTTTTCTCTCTCCCGCCCTCCTCGTCCCTCTCTTCTCCTGTCGTCGCCGTCCCCTTCTCGCCGTGCTTTCTCCCCTCCGGGGCCCGTCCCGAAGCACGGCTTCGCCGGATGGCCCGCTTTGGCCGCCCTGTGGTCCGCCCTCCTCCCCCCCTGCCTTTGTGTTGTGCCTCCTTCCTCCCTCTTGCCTCCCTCCTTGGCTGGCTCCTTCCCCTCTCCGGGGCTTGCCTTGCCCTTGTGGTGTGTGGTGTCTCCTCCCCTCTTCTCGGCTCCCCCGTCCTCCGTCGGTCGGCCCGTGTCCTTGCGTGCGTCCGTCTCCTGCCTCGGCTGTCCGCTGTCGCTCCTCGCTCCTCGCTTCTTCCTCGCTCTGCGTGGCCCTCCCTTCCCTCTGCTCCTGCTGTCCCCTTGCGGTCCGAGTTCGGGCCGTCCTGGCCGCTGCACGCTGCTGTCCGCTGCCCCTTCGCCGCTGCCGGCCTCTGCCCCGTGAGTGGTTTTGACCGTCTCGCCTTCGCTTGCTTCTCCGCCGTTCCTTTCCTTCCCACTGCTGTGGCCTCGGCCGCTGGCCGTGCGACAAACGCCCTGGCGAGTCGCAGGGCAGCGACGACCGCAATGTGTGTGTGTGTGTGTGTGTGGCAATGCTGTGCCTGCGCGGCGCATGCTCCGTTTTCCCCGAGCTCATCGGAAATGTGAGCGCCCGAGAGAAGGCTAAGCTGGTGCGCTCGCCGCAACGCCGCGCAAAGAGTTTCTGAAGCTCCATTCCCGCCCGTGCGCGACCCGCGGTCTTTCCCTCGCCAAGTCGGCGGAGGAAGGAACGCGCTCATATCCTAACAGCTTCTTGTACCACTATTGAGTCTTCTGCTCTGGGAGGGAGTGGGCGTGGGCGGGACCCGCTGACTCGTTAGGCATGGCTAACTGGATGTTGCTCAATGTCCCTGCATGCTGTGGTGCTGTCTATTCGGCTGGCAGTGCTCTTACATAACATGTTTCTATCTATTTCATTGGTGACACCATTATGCCGTCCTGGGTGACGTCCATCTCTCGGAACGCCCTCTCAACCAGTGGAATCATGTGCTCCACTTGCTTGATGATGCGGTGTCGTTGCATACAGAGGTCCTCTTTGCCGGTTTTAATCGCACTCTCAACTACTGCCGCAGTAACGAGGTTCATCAACAGAATGGAAACCACCCCGATCAACATACAAAAGAAAATGCCCACTATTGGGTTTTCAAGGATTAGCGGGAAGTAGATCGCCCCGATCGAGTCGGCGTTGACAAATTGTATCATAGTAACCATCACGTGGCCCAGAGAGCTGAAATGATTGTCCAATATCTCCTTCGTGACAGGGTTTGCTTGCAATCTCTGCGACTTGGCAATCAGCTCGAGTGCAGCACATCCGAAAACATACGCCACCATGGTCACAAGCACTGCTGCCGAAGTCACTGTTCGCGCAGACTTCATGAGGCCAACGCACAACTTCCAGAGATCCTGGAATAGCTCTACCATTCGCACAGCTCGCACGAGGCGCACCAAGCGAAGATTCCGAATCAGAGGGGCTTGCTCTAGAACCTCTATCGCGCCAGACCCTTCGCCAGACACGACGTGGTTTGCAAGGACGGTGGCCAATCCTCCGACGGCCACCATCGAAAAATCGAAGAGAAACCACATATTTCGAAATACGTCCCAACCATCCGCGATGAACCGCAGCAGAAGTTCCAGAGTGTAGACGGCTAAGAAGCAGATCTCCAAGTATGCCAGAATCGACTCTTGGCCCTCCTGCCCGTGGCCGTGGAGTTCCCGACCCAATGATATCTCGATCTCCAGGCCTATGCATATGGAGTTCGCAACTATGATGCAGCCAATGAAGGCCTCGAAAGCTGTCTGGTGAGTCTTCACAAGCCAGGACACCCTGCGTCGAACAGGACCATGCGGCTCGGCCACGAATTCCTCAACTTGGTGCAGGCCGTGCGAGAAATACAAGTGCTGCTTAATGCTCTCTTGCGCGGTGTGGATTTGCCGAGGAACATGTTGCCCTAACGTGCTCATGCTGGAGCTTTTCTCTGACCGCTCCTTGGATTTCACAGAAGCGTCTTCCACTGCAGACGCCGAATCACAATTGTTCTCGACGTAGGTGTAGTCGAGTGCCGCCTGGCCGTTCACGACGTTGCGCCTGAGTCTAAGACAATGCTCTCATCTCCCTTGCCCTCCCACGCGGGCCGCCTATACGCGGCCTTCGGGCTAGACTGGCGCAAGAGGCAGCACATCCCAGTGGTCCACGCGCAGTTCGAAGCCCCGTGGCGAGGTCCTGACCTACCACCCCGAGGCCCTACGCAGGGACTGCTCTTACAAGATGAATGCATCGCGTGATTTGGCCCGCGTCGGCTTACGGTCGGGAACTTTTGCTCAGCGTGTCGCGGCGGCGGCCCTGGCGACACGTCATGCCTTGCAAGCGGACAGCGCATCGCTCCGCTCCGTGGGGCAGGAGGCTTCGAAGGGCTCGGAACGTCGGCGCCTGGGGACTGTCGCGGACAGCGTGTCGCGCCGAGGCGCGGTGGGCCAGAACTGGCGGCGCGACACGCGAAGCCAACATTCCTGACCGTAGATTCTCCGCTGCATGGGGATTCCGCGCACGGGGATCACAAAAAACGACCCCCTCATCATGGCCCCAGGCGAAACACTTGGCGCCCTGCTCGGCGCCCCAGCCATGATCCAACAGAAACATGCCCCACAAGGGCCAACAAGAAGCATCCCGAACTCACGGGGTCTCTCCCTCTCTGGCTCCCTCTTGACATCTGGAGGGCCTGCGACCAGTACCCGCCGTGACCACGCTGTCCCTCGCTTCTGAACGCCGCGCTGAGCCGCTGAGCCTCGAAAGCGACCTCCGCTCCCAGGGCCCCCAGAGGCTGTCGACCCGACCTCTCGTATATACTCCGCACCTTCGGGCTGTGCCCTGCAGGCCCCGTGGCCTGAGACGAGCTCACGGATTGGAGGCAGCCATGGGCTCTGAGCTGGACAAGCCTAGAGAACATCGAGGCGGGGAATGAAAGCAGCTGCGCTCAAAATCAATCCCCCGCCCCCTTCCGGGGCCGAAGCGGACCAGATACTCGAGCCGCGCCCAGCCGTGTCGTCCAGGCGCCCTCTTTCTCCCCTCGCTGGGCCACCTCAGCCCCCCCAACTGGCTCCAATCCCCAGATGGCGCTCGACCTTCAGCGCCCAGGCCAGCGTCGCCGTGGACCTGCCATGTTGGCCTGCTTTCTCGCGCCTCCGCCCCTCGGAGAGGGCGGGGTCCCCTCGACGGGCGCGGGCGGCACACTTTTCGCTCTGCCCTCGGCCCGACGCCAGCCCGGGCGTCTCTCTGTCTGAGCTCTCGCGCTGGCCCATCGGGCCCCCTGGCGCCTCCTCCTCCTCCTCCTCCTCCTCCTCCTCCTCCTCCTCCTCCTCCTCCCCCTCCTCTTCTCTTCTCTTCTCTTCTCTTCTCTTCTCTGCTCTGCTCTGCTCTGCTCTGCTCTGCTCTGCTCTGCTCTGCTCTGCTCTGCTCTGCTCTTCTCTGCTCTGCTCTGCTCTGCTCTGCTCTGCTCTGCTCTTCTCTTCTCTTCTCTTCTCTTCTCGTCTCTTCTCTTCTCTTCTCTTCTCTTCTCTTCTCTTCTCTTCTCTTCTCTTCTCTTCTCTTCCTCCTCCTCCTCCTCTCTTCCTCTCTTCCTCCTCCTCCGCCTCCTCCTCCTCATCCTCCCTCCTCCTTAGCCCCTCGGTTCTGATGCTCCAAGCACGGGGCCGTGTTGTCCGCATAACGTAGCACGCTCTCACCTTACACGTTTCAGGTCTCTGTCCTGAGGGTTGGGCGGCTGCTGGTCATCTCGTCCATGCTCTCTCCCTCATAGCTGGCAGCTGCAACCCCCTCAGGGCGAACTCACAGGACAGGCTGGGCGAGATCGTGCGCCGTATGACCAGCTTCGATTCGCTGTGCCTCGTGGGGACCAAGGTGAAGGCCACGGTAGGTACCACGGTTCGGCAGCGCTCTGTTTCTCTTTATGGGAGTGAGGGCTTTCGGATTGTGATCGAGGCTGGTTATCGACTCAGCCCATACGTTAGTGCATATGCGGGGTGCTCTGTGATTCTGGGGCGACGTTTTCACGCACGTGATGGGGTCGCGGTTCCACCTGTTCATCTTCAGGGGCGGGGGCTCCTGGTTCAGGCAAACAACTCCCTCATAGAAATAACCAGCATCGCCTTGTATTTTCCTCCGAGGCCTCTGGAGATCAAGGCACTACCCACGTATCGCAACATTTGCGACGAGCTGACGGCCTGGCCTTCTGCTCATCTGCGTGCGCTGCCGCGGCGAACAACGCCCATAGTTGGCAAGGATTTTAATGATGGCTTGGGATAAGATCAACATGGGAGGGATGGGTGGAAAACGTACGGACAACACGTTGTTCCTCCAGATTTCCCCAGTAAGGCCCACTAGGCCGGCATAGCGGTTACCGAAGTTCTGTCTACTCACGATCTCTGTGCCGCCAACTGTGCTCGCGAGCGTGTTCCGACCGTCTACTCGAATAACGACGGCTGCAGGACGAGATATTTTCAGTCTTCCTCGGCCGCTTGTACGTGCCATGCCTCGCAGCAATCCACTACGACGGGCTAGTTGAGAATTGCAAATAATTCCGTCGCAGCGCCCTGCCGATCATCTTCTCATCATGCCTAAAACCTCTCACACATTGGCTATGCCACAGAACTCCCCTCTCGTTCTGCTTCCTGGGATCGTGGTGCTCTCATGCGGTGTGTGCGGCGAAGCGAACGTATAGCAGAGTTTATGGCAGCCGTGCGTGTACGTGTGTAGCGCGAGTTTAACCTGCTTCAGGAGCTGTCGGGCCGACCGACGGCAGATGCGTTTTTCGAAACACTGAACGACCTGCATACTGAGACTGGGCAAAAAGGTATTCCAGGGTTGCAGTGACGAGGTTACTCAGCAGTTTCATCTTGAGCGTGATCAGCTTCTGGGGCAGCGACGTCACATTGCGCATGCTACTGCCTGCGGTTGAAAAACTCTTTGTGCGCCAGATTCAAGGCCGACTGCGCGATTCTCGCCTGTATCGAGTTTTCAGGCGGCGGGAGGCGGAGGCGAGACGAGAAGCTGAAATGGAAGAAATTCGCGAGCACTGGCGTCGCCGCCGCCTTGCTGAAGCTACTCGTCTTGCCCGACGCGCCGCGGGGTCTCGGTTTGGCCCCAAGAAGCAGGACTACAGCACGGTGCGGGGCACGCGAATGATGCCGTTCACCTCCAGGAGCTCTTCTCTCGTTCTGGCCCCGAGGGGGCATGTCTGCTCAGGTTGTTTCAGGTTGGAGTACGTGGCGTGCTCAGTGGGTTGCTCGATTTCCAGGGCGTGTCGCTCTACTGGATGCTCATTTTAGTGCGCCATGCAAGACTTTCGTGCTATCAGATACCGCATCTCGAGAGCTGGGAAGAGGCGAACTGTTCCCGAATGGTCGCCGCCGCTTGAAGTCTGGTGGCTCGCTCTTGTCCCCGGACGTAGTCTGGAACACCTGACTCTGGGAGTTGGGGCCGCTCATTGCCCTCGCGATCTTCAGGACTTTCATGAGTTGCTGGTGTCTGGTTTAGCACGTATTCGCGCGTGCGGTCAAATGCCTGTGTTCTGGAATCGAAGCCGAGGTGCTCCTCTTCCTCGGCCCGACGGCAAAACCAAGTGGATACGCCTCGTCGGCGCCTTCGGTAAGTCCTGGACGTCAGGGGCCATGGCCCAGAAAAGGCTCCGGGTGGCCAGACGACCGAGGCGACGGCGCAGCCCACGCGTGCCCGCGGCAGCAAATGCACCAAATCACAAGGGCGGCGGAGGAGGAGGAGGAGGAGGAGGAGGAGGAGGAGGAGGAGGAGGAGGAGGAGAAGGAGGATGATGAGGAGGAGGAGGAGGAGGAGGAGAAGGAGGAGGAGGAGGAGGAGGAGGAGGAGGAGGAGGAGGAGGGCGGCCGGCACAGCCCGCCGCCATGCAGGCTCCCGGAACCCCAACGGGGCAGGCGCCCGCAGCAGCCCAGCAGCGGGGCTACGCCGCGGCGCCCTGGCCGACGCGGGCGAGGACGCGCGCCCGGAGAGCAGCCAGCGGCTCGGCCGCTGGCCGCGCCGACGACGGGCACGCCACGGCCGCCCGCGCCTCGCAGATGGCCTGCGTGGCCGCGTCGGCAGCGGCCGCGCGCGCAGCAGAAGCAGCGCGGGCTGCCGCGGCGTGCGCCGCGCGCCGTGCCCCCGGCGCGCGTGGGCGGCCAGCGGCGGCGGCCGCGGCGGGCGGCAGCGCGGCAGGCGGGGGCGGCGCCCCCCCCCGCGGGCAGCCGCGGTGCCAGCGGCGCGCGCTGCGGCGGGGCACCCACGCGAGCGCATGGCGGCCGCGTCGCGCACCGTGACGCGCCGGACGGCGCCGCCAGGCCCGACCAGCTCGCGAACGTGGTTGTTCGCGGCGTGGGTGACGGCCCCCAGGACTGCGCCTTCATGCGCCACGAGACACTCCGCCTGCCCGAAGAGCTGTGCGCCCGCCGCGCACTCTGGCGGGCACCCCGCAGCCGCGTTGGCAGCAGCGTCGGCCAGGTGGTTCGCGCGCCAGTCAACCGCGGTCACGACATGCCCGTCGGACCTCCTGGCTGTGCCGATGCTGGCAACGGAGCCGTGCGCCGGCATCCAAGTGAGCCTCCCGGCCACCAGAAGCTCCGAGGTGTCGCCGTCCAAGAGCGCGGACACGCGCGACCACAGCTGCGCGAGCATGCGCGTGGGCTGGGTCGCCTGGAGCGTGCTGGCCGCAGCAGTAGTCAGGATGGCCAGTCCGTGCGGATGCTGGGCGGCGCGACGGTCATGGAGAGCACGAACGCCACCGCCCAAAGCTCCGCGGCTGCCGCGGTGCGGACCCAAGGGGGAGGCGTGGCGCAGCCGTATGCGACTAGGTCGCCACAGCCAGAGACGACCACGATTCCGAGTCCCGTGCGCCGGAGCTCCCATAGCGGGCCGAACCTCATCGACCCATCCGTGTACCAACACAGGTCGGCGCGTCTCGTCGGGCGGGGCCGGGAACCAGCGCGCGGCGAGCTCCTGCTGCGCCACTGGCCGCGGCAGCCGAAGGGCGAGCAGTCCGCGCGTGCGGAGCAGCGTCCCGCGGGCCTCCGGGAGCGCGGACAACAGGTCCGAGCGCGCGCTGGGCGGCTCGGGCCACCCCTCCGGCGGCAGCGAAGCAGCGCAGCAACGGCGGTGCAGGAGGGTGCCCGGCGCCTCGCCGCACAGCTGGCAGGTCAGGTCAACGACATCGGCATTCCGTAGTCGAGCGAGGCGCACCTGGGGCCATTGTCCGCCAGTGGCAGCAGACAGGAGCATCGAACGGCACGGGGCCGAGCACTGCGGCACGGTGCTGTGCGGGCGCCCCTGGCCCTTGAGCAGGCGCGCCAAGGGGCGCCTCGCGAAGGCCGTGAAGGAGTCCGCGCCCGCGTCGGTCGGCAGTTCCAGCGTGCTGGCGGCGATGGGCGGGATCATGGAGATCACGCGTTTGGTCCGCCATCTGTCGGCGGACCTGTGCACAGCTGCCGACGCCATGGCGGGGGGCATGAGCAGGAAGCCAACCGTTTTGCCAGCGTCGTCCAGGATCGCTGCGGAGAGGAACAAGTCCAGCCGAGGCGCCACGCCGTGGCGATAACAGCGGCCACAGGGCCAGCCACGGCGGACCACGGCGACCTGCCAGTCGCCACAACCTTCTCGAGACGGGTCCGGGACTCCTCGAAAACGTGGTCGAGCTCTGGCGCGGGTGCCCACTCTTGCCAATACGCCAAGCCCCAATGACGGAGGGGCGTGGCGTGCGGAACATGCGCCGGATCCAACGCGGCGCCACCGGCATCCAGAACGGCGAAAGCGACGTCGACGTTGCGGCTTGCGCCAGGCGGCAGAGCGGCGCAGAGGACTGCAACGCGCACGCTGTGCAAATTCGTGCTGGACGCGCCAACGATGTCCACGCCGTGCAGCATGCTGGGGCTCCCGATGGCCTTCGCCACACGGGTGGTGTCCACGCGCTGGCAGGGTACTGGCAGGGTCGCGCTGGCATGGCCCAGAAAGGCCCGCTGCAGGGTACTGATCAAGATCATCGGTTTCTGCGGTTTCGCCGTCGGGAGTGCGCCCTGATGGTTCAGGGAATTAGGGGGAGTGGCTCAATTAGGGGGGTATCGGTTCACCGCGAATGCGCGCGACCCCACGAACGCGTTTGCCAGTGATCCCCGAGCTTTTCACGGATGACACCTCTAAGTTCGGTATGCTGCGGCTTCTGGGCGCACTCGTCACTCTTCGGGGGCACAACGCGGATATAGACCTAGCACCTGGGAGTGGAAGGGGCTTGAGGGGGGCGAGTTCGCAGTAAGTATGTCTTTGAAGGCCTTCATTCAGCCTGTTGAGGGCTGGCTGGCTGGCCACCCAGTGTCGCTGGGGCCCGCTGGCCGATATGCTGTGCGCCAAGATACCTGTGCTGCTGAATGGCCAGATCACCTTTCAGCCGACGTCTGTGGCCTGTTTGCTCACCAAGTATGCGGGCGATCTGGCAAAACAAAACACTTGTTCTGCCTCGCGCTGCTGACCTCTGCGACCTCGTGAAGCTGAATCGCCGTGCCAATGCCTCGCTCGATGGCTTTCTGGAGGATGTGGGGTTCTCTCTATCGGAATCTTTCCTATCAAGACACGCTTCTCTATGTCTGGGGTGATGGCTGGGCTCGGTTCTAACGGGGTGTCAGAGGTGGTCGCATCTAATTTCCTTGGAAACCCGTCCTGTTGGCAAAAGCTCTGGCGGCCTGGACGTGCAGCAACGCGCCCATCTTCGAGGTGGAGCTTCGGTCTCGCATTCGTGCGATTCGGCAGTCCTGGTATTCCATGGGTGGTTTCTGGACGCTTCGGGGTGTTCCACATCGGCTGCGACGTTGTTTACAGACTTCTAAGATTTATAATTTGGCTTCATCTGGGTTGAAGGCTTTCTTAGCTAGTCCTCAGCAGATACACCGACTGCAAACTACTGTTACTATGTATGCTCGCAAAGCTATGCTAGGCCAGCAGAAGACGTGGTCCGCGACTTCTCATCCTACTTCTTTCTCTTCTGAGGCCGTTCTGCCGTGGTGGAGGCTCGCCCCGATCGAGCTCGAGATGCGTATTCGTCGGCTCCGATTGTGGCAGAGCTCGGTGAAAGTCCTTGGGGCTCATCGCTAGGTCCGGGCCAGTCCCTTTGGAAATCTTGGAGGCAATGTTCTAGCTCGCGCTCCCCGCGTTCTGCATGATGGTCGTCTTGGCAATCATCTCCTCGTGGACTCAGCGGTTGGTCTCCGATGTCGGGGGCCTTTCGGAACTTGAGTAGGGCGCGTCTCTGCTGGCGATTCTTGATAGACGGTTCTTTCTTTTATTCGGACTGATGTTCGCCAGCTTCGGTCGTCATCTTTATCAGTGTGTATCCCTCCTCCTGGGCTGCATGAGGTTTCGACGGCAGCGATTGAGAGCAGTGTTGTGAGTGGTTCTGAATGTACCTGTATGCCTATGAATGCGGATGGCACGAATAGGAGGGCTTTTTCACAACCACGTCATTCACCATCATGGCTGTCGGTCCCTGGCTCATCTTGTCACGGTCACCAACCAATGTTGCGTGTGTTTGGCCACTTTCGCCCCCCTCGATGGTGCGCGACGACACTTGGCTCGGAGTCTAATTCGGGGTCGGTGCTTGCGAGATCGGACCGGAATCTTGCCGAGGCCCAACTGCCGACGAGTTCGACCTGTCCACTTTGCCCGTTCTCCGCAGGCGTTTTAGCTGATCTTCAGGTTCACCTTCGCACTCACCTTGTACTGTGTCCGCTGCCACCGCCGCCAGCTGAAGATGGGAGCGGCGCCCGCCTGGATGCTGCCGGCCGCTCCCGCGTCCCAAGCCGCGGGCAACGGCGACCGCTGGAGGAAGATGGCCTGCCTTCACGAGCAGGCCGAAGCAGCCAAAGGTGGCGCTCTTAAGGCCCTCGTCGCGATCCTGGCTCGCTGGGCCCTCGGCGGCGCCGCCGAGCTTGGCGAGCTGCGTGTCGTGGTTGTCGTGCCATTCTTGGCGCCGTCCGAGGCGCCTGTGATCATCGCCGCCGCGGCGGCTGCCAAAGCGTACCACGAGGAGGCCAAGTGCCGCAAGAGCGAGCATAACGACGCGCCCATGGGTCCGCCGTTCGCGCGGGTGTGGATGGCCATGATTCGCGCCGTCGGTCACTCCGCTGAGTGCCCCGAGGCAGCCGAGGGTTCTCTCGGCAACTCCTGGGCCGACTTCATCATGAATAGCGAGATCGAGACCGTGGCGAACAGCGTCAGGGCGTGCCGCGTCAGGCCTACACGCAAACAGGATGGCAAGCAGTCGATGCATCGAGTGGCCTTCGCGGTGGGCTCGTCTCGCGGGCACCTGGGGGCGGCGCTCACTAGCTATTTCATCATGGTCAAGGATGTTCGCAAGCACGGGGCGGCCCCGAAGGGGGCGCTCGAGCGCGACGCTCAAAAACTATTGGACAAGCTGGAGGGCAATAACTGAGTGCTGCTAGACTTGGTCCACAACCAAGTCCGAGTCTGGGGATAAGCTGGGATTCTTTTAATTCTGCCGTCACCTTCGCTGGCCGCGGACGTGCTGCTGAATTTCAAGTGGTCGGAGGCAGTGTGCAGGGGGGCTCTCAGTCTGTTAGGAATGGTGTTGGCTCCCTTCGCACTGCTGGGGATAGTACTGGCACGCGCTCTCATGGTCAATGGAATGCTACTGGTTCTGATATTGCTGGGGATAATACAGGCGTGGGTTCTCTTCCTGCTGGACCTGACACATGATGTGCACTTTCTGGGGATAGTACTTTGCACGTGCTCAATGGTCATGAAATGCTGCTGGCTCCCACGTTCGTGGGGGTGATGCTAGCTTGATTTCTCTTGGGCTGGATCGTGGTGCCCGAGTACCGCCTGAAGCTGAGGGCCCTGATGAACGACGGTGCCAAACTGTGCGTGCAATACGCGAACGGCTGGCATGCAATCAAGACCCTGGAAGGCGTAAGCGAGTCCTTGTGCGACGGCTTTTGGCTGCTGTGTCTGGTTGAATTGAAAACGATATTAGTAGTGCTCCCGCCACGGCGCCCCCTTCTCATATGCCACTGCCGAGCTTATCAAGCAGTGAGGCCCAGCCTATCATTCATCCAGGGGCCCCGCCAAGGACCTCGCTCTCGGTTTCGAACCATGGGATCGGTCGATCGGTCGGGCCCCCTCGCTTGCCTGCCTTTCGTGATAGGTAGTGCTCGTTATCGTGAGCTAGCACGTCGTGTTGCGCTCTCCCTCGTCCTCGAGGGTGGTGCCTGGGGCCTCAGCGGCTCCCTTTTTCTGCCCACCCCGAGGGTGGCGAGCGGTTTACTCTGAGGGGGAGCGCACTCGACGAGGGCAGAGTCTTTGTTCCCCACGAGCGTGCGAAACCTGTGGCGCGTCGGAGGTCGAGAGCAAGTGGAGAAATGGACCTGTGTAGTTGTCCTGCTGCGAGAACCGTGTGTGCAGGGTGCTGCCATGAGGCGCCCGCTGGGTTGTGCCTCAATAGGGGCCGTCTCCAGGCTTGTGCGTCACCCCGCCTACAAGGCCCCCTTCTCAATGGAAAGTCGCTTTCGCTAGCCGCCTCGATCACCCACATTTTTTTCCTGCCTCGGCTCAGGGATACGTTGGGTCCGATAGTTCTTTGCTTTGCTTCTCTCTCTCATCATTATCCTCTCTTCCTCCTCCCTCTCCTCCTCTTTCTCCTCCTCCTCCTCCTCCTCCCCCTCCTCCTCCTCCTCCTCCTCCTCCCCCTCCCATCCCTTTTCCTTATGACTAACTCCTCCCCCCGTCGCACTCCCAAACGTGTCCGCAAGGCTGGCCGTGCGTTTCGTCTGAGGCCTGCTCACCATTTATGGCCCTGAAGCTTGAACGTTGCAAGAGTTTCACGGATGGATGGCGCGTGGTTTTCGCCATGTGGCTTTCTGCGCAGCCGCTGAAAAGAGGAAAACGAACAACTTCGAATATGGAGTGCGGGCCGCTTTCAAACTGTGGACCTTGAATTAGCGCCAGCCGCATTCGTCTTAAACGTCTCTGCAATAATTTCGAGGTTAGAGGTCGGGTCGTTTTAAGCATGTGGCTTCCGCCTTAGCGCCGAACGCATTCGTCTCCCAATGCTCACAACATTTTCACAGACGGGTGGTTTTCAACATGTGGCTCTCGCCGTCGCGCCGCATACATTCGTCTTCAACGGTTGCATCAATTTCAAGGATGGAGGGCGGATCCTTTTCAAATGTGATTCTCGCTTTGGCGCCGCGCATCTTCATCTTAAAAGCTTGCAGCAATTTGAATGATGTAGGGCGGGCAGCTTTCACAATGTGGCTCTCGCCGTAGCGCCACGCACACTCGTCTTAAACAGCTTGCAGCAGCATGAAGGAGCCGTAGGGCTGAAGTCAGGGCTTTCATAACGCAGCAATCACGTTGTTGAGGTGAGAAAGTCACATGAATGGTGTTCTATCGCGATTTAGGGCTGTCAAGACGCAGCTGTCACGTTGACCCGCGGCGATGAAGTCCCACGGATGATGTTTCGGCACGGTTGGTGATTTTCAGGCGGTTTTCTTCCAATGGGACACTTCCCGTTATGAAAACAACTTCTTGTAGGTGCCTATGAAGAAGGATCTTGGACTAACTGTTTATTCCAACATCGTTGATGCGCCTTGGGCTTTTCATTGGTCCTCCTCCTCCCCCTTTGCCTCCCGCCTTCTCGTCTTCCTCCCAACTTCTCCTCCATCCCTTTTCACATGAATAACTCCTCCCTGTGGCCCGGGCTGGGCGTTTCGCCTGAGACGTCCTCACCTTTTGTAACCCTGTAGCTAGGAAGTTGCAGCAACTTCAAGGATGGAGGGCGGGTCGTTTCAAAACGTGGCTCTCGCCTGAATGCCGCGTACATTCGTCTTCAACGCGTGCAATGTCAAGCCTGGCGGGCGGGTCGTTCGAAAAAGTGGATCTCGCGCTCTCGCTTGAGCTCCGCGCACATTCGTCTTGAAAACATTTACAACACTTTCACGCGTGGAGGGTAGGTCATTCTCAAACTGTGGCTCTAGCCTTAGTGCCGCGCGCATTCGCCTTACACGTTGGCAGCAAGTTCAAAGAAAAGCAGTTAGGGCGGGTCGGTTTCAAAATGCGGCTCTTGCTGTAGCGCCGCGCACATTCGTCTTGAACGTTTGCAGCAACTTCAAGGATGGAGGGTGGACCGTTTTCAAACTGTGGTTATCGCATGAAGCACCACGCGTTTGTTTTCATTAACCACTTGCAACAATTTGAAGGATGGAGGACGGTTCCTCTTCAAAATGTTGCTATCGCTTTCGCGCCGTGCACGCTCGTCTTACGCGTTTGTAATAGCTTGAAAGAGTAGCAAGGTTGAGGTCCCACGAATGGTGTTGCCAGGGCGCGGCCGTCACCTTGACTCGCGGTTTGCATGTCCCAGGAACAGCATTTTGGTATGACTTGCGGTTGTCAGGGCGCACCAAGCACGTTGATTCGCGGCGTTGTAGTCTCATGTATGGTGTTTGGCATGCTTGAAGGTTATTTGACGATTGTCTTCTGATGGGACACTTCCCACACTGACAATACATTCTTGCAGGGACCTATGACGAGGGATCTTCGAGGGAGGGTTTCTTGCAACATCGTTGGTGCGTCTTGACGCTCGGCCCCCCCGCCGTTGAGAGCAGATCGGGCTGGAGCGTGCGGGTAACATAAAGTTGTTCCTGCTCCTCCTTCCCATCGGCGGCGAGCCCAGGGGGGACTTGAGGGGGCAGGCCTTCTCAGAAGGCGGCGGGGTTTCTTAGAAACCCTCGCGCCTTCTGGGAAACCGTCCGTGGCTTCCTAATAAGCGTACGATGCCTCTCGGAAGGCGCGAGGAGTTCCGAGAATCCCCGCAGCCTTCCGAAGACACTCGCCGCCGATGCCAAACCTCAGACGACTCGATGCTTTCGCAACGTGGGCCCCTGGCTTGGCACGGCCCGCTGGCTCTGGTGCCGTGAACCAGCGATGGCTCCCCTGCGCACTGTCCTGCCGATGCCTGCGCCTCGCCAGTTCGATGCCTAGGCGTCACCAGGTCGATGCCTCAGCACCTGCTACGCCCAGCCGCGTCCAACTACGTCCATGGACGCATCCCTCGATGCATGCGTGGGCACACCCATGCGGATGCCTAGGCATCCGCATGGTCATGCCTAGGCATGCTACGATGATGAGTAAGCATCTATGCTGGGGGGTCAAGGTGATGGCTGGGAGCCGAGCGAACGGGCCGACCCATCCTCTGGCCCTCTCGACCCCTTCCCTGGGACCAGCCCTTCACCCGAGATGATCTTTGACACCCTTTGGGCCCAGCAATGGCCCATCCGCAAAACACATCAAGCTGCTGTAGCTTCGCATCGCGCCGCTGGCCCTGGGCAACCTGTGTTGTCCAGCGACGGAGAGGGACGGAGGAACACATAATTTGTATGAAGGAAGTGGACCTGAGGGAAGCGGGTCATGTTGGGCGTTGCTTAATGCGGTGGTGGGGGGGCGATAAATGGGAGGTTGAGCAAATGTGACTTTACATCCCTATTGGGCCCCATTCGGGCCTCTGAAGTGCACGAAAGGTGCACCTTTCTTCGTCCCTCCTTTATCGCTCCTTATTACGCAGCGCCCGATCATGTAACCGGGGCTTTCCCCCAGGACCAGCTTTTCACCCTGAGTAATTCCCTAAAAACTTGTCGCTTCAAGGTCCAATGAAGGTAACAAGGGACCACAGAAGAGTCCCACACTGGGGGACGGGGAACCCTAGACCGCTCGGTCCAGCAACCATGTCTCCCGAGACTTCCTCACAACTTATTCAAGAACCTCGCCTCAATGCTGGCTACATTTGTGGTCTTGACGGCCACGATCCCTGGTAGCAGATACACGAAAATGCACATGACCGTGCGTTCCCCAAGAACCCTTTTAGAAATACACATGAATGCACGGTTTCACCAGCCGGCTTCCTCCTCCTCGATCCGCCTCTTCGCCTTGCTGCTAGCTGGGTGCTGTGGTGGGGTGATTTGACGGTCCCCGGGCCCAAAGACGGCCCCGAGAACCCGAATACGTGAGAAACCTCAGGACGCGCTTCCTTCAGGATCCGCGTGGTTCATGGCGAGAGGATCAGGCTGACGACGACGCTGAACGCGCCGGCGGGAGGGCAGGGCAAGCGTGACGAGGCTGGCAGCCAGGCAAGCAGGCAGTGCGAGACAGGACAGGAGGCAAGGCAGCAAACAGGGACTGCCCCGAGGACGCAGAGGATGCCGAACGGCCGGCCGCCGCCGTACATCAAGAAATACGCATACGAGGCCCTGCGTGTCCCCCCCACACATGCCCCTGCACTACTGTCCTCCTACATCCTCCCCGCCTTCTTGGTGGCTTCATGGTCGAGGGCCTCCTTCCTCGCCCTCCTCTCCCAGGCACCTCGGGCGGCCCTGTCCGTCGCCCTGCGACGGTCCCTCGCCGTCGCAGCTCGGCGCCGCCTTGGGCACGGCCCGCGTCCTCGCGGGCGCGGGGAGCGGTGGGGATGGGAAGTGGGGGGGATTGCATAAAGAACGGTGGGGGGTAAGGCGAACCCAGCCATGGCAATGAGGGCTCCCCCGAGGGACGAACAAGAATGCGTCATGGATGAAGGAGGAGAAGGAGGATGAGGAGGATGATGATGATGATGAGGAGGAGGATGAGGATGAGGATGAGGAGGATGATGATGATGATGATGATGATGATGATGACGATGATGATGATGAGGAGGATGAGGAGGAGGAGTAGGAGGAGGAGGAGTAGGAGGAGGAGGAGGATGAGGAGGAGGTTTGTCTATCCCTGGACCTGTTCGACGCCTTTTATAGTGTGATCAAACAGTTTGCCATGCCGCTCCCAGGGGAGGAGCACAAGCTAGAATACGCCCTAGAATGTGCCCAAACTCCCCCCTCTCCTGTATGAGGGCGCTGGGGTTTGCTTGGCAGCCCCCAAGCTCATCGATAACCACCTCACACGTGCTCATCTGATGGCTTTGGTACGAGAAACCCAACGAGGAACATGTTGGCAGGTTCGCAATGCCGGCAACTACGTTGCTCCTGCGGGAGGCACGAGGCCAGGTACCATCCCAACCACTGGTTTCTTCAACCTCACCTTTCGCCCTGTTCTCGTCAGGATAAAGCAGGAAATGAAGAAGCTAACATGTTCCGTACAGGACTGCTTTCCATGCCCTGAGCCCATCTGCTCACGGGCTGAGGACTGGGAAGCGGCACAGCCTGACCTCTCTTTCGTCGATGATTTCACAGTTTCTGTACTTTCCAAGGAGGCCAAGGCGATACCAGCGATTGCCGAAAGCGTCTCCGATGCTGTATACGAAGCGTGCCTCACCTACGGCCTGAGACCCAACCCCATCAAAACGAAGGTGCTTTATGCGCTCCGTGGTCCTGGGTCCCGCTCGGTCCCTGGGCTCGCTGATGGCACCACCAAGTGGGGCTTTACTTTTCCCCTGGTCAAGTGCCACAAAATCCTTGGGGTTCAGGTTGCTGCTTTGGGATCTATGACGGCCGAGGTCACGGCCAGAGTAGGCAAAGCGCGGGGAGCCCTTGGACCCATCAAGGCTACGGTGGCTACCAGGGCCCAACTCTCGACGCGCGCTAGGGTTCTGTACGCTGGGTCCCTAGCCTCTTCGGTTTTGTTTTACTCGACTGCAGTTGTTTGGCCTAGGATTACGGCTTTGCAGCAACAGAAAATGATGTCAAGCCATTCGGCCATATATCGGACGGTCCTTAACAAGCCCTTGCTCAACAACTGCTCCGAACACGACTTAACTGATCGGGTTCTTTTGGAGGTGCAGAGACTACCTTACCACGTTGTCATGTCCATCTCACGTTTGAGATACCTTGCTCGGTTTCTTAAACACGCTCCACCATTAGTTAACGTACTAGCGGACATCACTTGGCAAGCAGATAACGGATGGGCTCAGCTACTTCGTGATGAATGTTGTTGGCTTGAGGGGCACACGGACCCTACCCAGCGCCCCCAGGGCATGCCCCCCCCCCCCCCAAAGGCTCGTCGAGTTCATCCGTTCTGCCCCACGTGTTTTTCGTGCCATGATGACTGGGGCAATAGGGCGTGCGAAACATTTTGAAATGGACAAGCAGGACTGTGCATTATGGGATCGAGAGTTACGTCTGGCTGCTGCCAGCACCCCTTTAGCCTCGCCTGAGCCCAAAAATGCCCATTTCGAATGTCCGTCATGCTCATTTGTTGCTGCCACCCAACAATCGTGGAGAGCGCACACGGGACGGTATCACAAGAAGGTGGGGGCCCCCACGTCTTTGGCGATAGGAATGCTGTGCCAGATATGCTTGACATATTTCAGGCAGAACGGGAGGCTGGTACAGCACCTCAGGAACTCACCGACCTGTTGCACATGATGGGCGCACGCACCGATGGGTTTACCCACCAGCGACGAGCTGGACGAGGCCCGTGCTGAAGCCCGCGCAACAGCAGCAAGCAATCGGAAGCGTGGTTTGTCCGACACCTATGCGAGTCTCCCGCCACTCCTCTGCGCATGACCGCCCATAGGACCGACAATCAAGCGCACGAGAGCGCAACAGAAAGCAGAGAGAGAAGGCTTCATCATTCAAGTCCCTCCCGACTCTGCTCCTCCTGTTCTTTCTCCTCGCCCTCTCCCCTTTCGCCCGCTCATGTTCATCCTTCACCTCTTCTCGGGATTCAGGGGAGAAGGACATTTTCGATGGCAAGTAGAGAGCATTGTCCGAGACCAACGTTAGGGGATCTCACCTCTCTTGAGGCGGCTGATTTGTGGGTTCGTATGCTACGCTCGGGGCGTGTAGCAAATGTCTTAGCAAGACCCCCGTGCGAGACATGGTCCTCCGCTAGGTTTCACGAGGTCCCTGCAGATGCCCCTGGTGGTGCCAAACCTCCCATACCACTCCGCTTACGGCAGCAGCTTTATGGGGTGGGATACCTTAGGGCGCGTGAGCGCACGCAGGTCCAATTGGGCAACGTCCTGCTGAGAGGTACTATCAGGATTTTATATGAGGCCTGGGCCCATGGGATCCCTGCGATCATGGAGCACCCCTCGATGCCCGATAGGCCCCCTGAGGCCCCTAGCTCCTGGCTTCTCCCACAACTCAAGCGCCTAGCTAAGATGCCTGGTGTTCCCCAGCATCGCGTCCATCAGTGCAAGTTTGGGGCTCGTGTTCTTAAGCCCACCACCTTCCTGTGCACACACCTCGGGGCCTTGGAGGAACTCCTTGCGCACAAGGGAGGCCATGGGAGATGCACGCACAAATTAAGACATCGTGGCATGTTCGGTGTCGGTGACGAAGGAATTTGCATTATCGCTCACGCCAAAACCTATCCGAGGAAGTTTTGCGAATTTCTGACAGCTGCCATGGTGCAGCAAGTCACTCGGCGTTTCTCCCAGCTCGACGCTTCGAATTCCGTGCGCACACCCATAGCTTTGCTTTCTGTGAGGCCACCAGCTGATTGGACAGCCTGCGGCGAAAGACAACTTCGATGATGCATTGCCATCGATACAGGTTGCGACGGATGGGCTGTTCCGAGGGGGTTGCGTCCATTCTGTGATCCCCTGGACCCGTACACCATAAAAAATATCTCAATGTATTGCATGATCCACAATGGATCCATACGGAATGCCCCGCCAAGCGTGTGACGACGACGGTTTGCTTCCCTATCTTTATTTGATTGCTTTCTCATTCATTACTTATCACGCTTTGAATTGCAATCTCGCCACCTTGTCATTTTTCCGTGAAGGGCCATACAGCGAAGGGAGGCAAGGCCCAAAGACTCCGACAGATGCGACATCTTTAAAGCAATACCTGTATGGTGTGCATGGGCATTCCCATGAACGCGCAACTGGCAGTAACGGAGGAGTGACAAGTTTTGGGGGAAGGATCTTCTTTTCCGCCTTCCTTGTCCCCTTGCCCTGTCTTCCCTCGAGTGCCCACCCATTATAAAAGGTAGTACCCCTGGCCCGCTCAGAGCGGATAGCGCCTTTTGCGCATGGCAATGCTGGTTGTTGTCTCCTGGCTCCTGCTTGCTGCTGTCCTTGCCGTGTTCTCCACTCATTGGGCTTCTCTCTTCATCCGCCCATCGGCGTCGACTGTCTGCCTATGACCGAACCGAACCGAACCGAGGAGGAGGAGGATGAGGAGGAGGAGAAGAATAAGTAGAAGTAGGAGTAGGAGTAGGAGTAGGAGAAGTAAGAGGAGGAGGAGGAGGAAGAGGAGGAGGACGGGGCGGAGGAGGAGAAGGCAGAGGCGGGGGCGCGGGCGGAGGCGGAGGCGGAGGAGGAGCAGGAGGAAGAGGAAGAAGAGGAGGAAGATGAGGATGATGATGATGCTGATGAAGCTGATGATGGTGATGATGATGATGATGATGATGATGATGCTGATTGTGATGATGATGACGACGACGATGATGAGGAAAAGGAGGAGGAAGAGGAGGAGGAGGAGAAGACGGAAGAGACGGAAAAGACGGAGGAGACGGAAAAGACTGAGGAGGAGGAGGAGGGGGAGAAGGAGGAGGAGGAGGAAGAGGAGGCGGAGGCGGATTAGGAGGAGGAGGAGGAAGAAGAGGAGGAAGAGGAGGAGGAGGAGTAGGAGAAGGATGAGGATGAGGAGGAGGATGAGGAGACGGAACATGGGGAGGAGGAGGATGATGATGATGATGAGGAGGAGGAGGAGGAGGAGGACCAGTGTGAACCCAAGAGTCGTCAACGATGTTGGAATTTACCCTCCCTCCAAGCTCCCTCTTCATAAGCCCCTGCAACGGTTAATTTCCATTGAGGGAATTGCCTCGTTGGAAGACAACCGTTTGAAGACCTTGAAGCATGCCAAAACATTGTTCTCGGGATTTCCACGCTAAGACAAAGCCACTCTGGCCAATGATACGTATAACTGCTCGGGACATGGGGTGCGGGGGAGGGGGAGTGATGCACTCTCGGAGCTCATTTACCTGCCCATTCTGCCCTGCACATTTGACTCTCACGTCCTCTCTTAATAGAGGCCAGCCATAATTGAGCTAGCCTCAAGCCCTCGCCACCTATACCTATTTGCTGTGCTCAGTGTCATCTCTTTAGCATTCGGGTCGTGCGCACTAGGTCGAGCTTAGGGTCGAGTGTGGTAACTATCCATATTCCTCCATCTACTTCTACTTATCCGACTACCTCTACATCGGAAATTGGGGGGTGAGATCGCAGTGGAACGGTGACCGGGAAATCAGTTTCGGTTCTGTGTTCGTGTCGTGCGGGCGAGGCGAAGCTGCGTGGGCGCGCGAGAGGAACGATGCCGCCGTGGCTAATGGCTGTGGAGCCCGTTGTCTCCCACCTTCCGGCGCGCGCGGTGGCCGGGGGGGTCCTGTCGGTGGCGCGTCGGTGTCCCGTCGGTGGCGCGAAGTGCCCCGTCAGTAGCGCGGGTTGTCCCAACGGTGGCTCCGGGTGTCCCGCCGTTGTGTCTCGTTGGTACCTCGCGAGATCAATAGTGAGATCGATAATGAAATCGATAATAAAATCGCTTGCGTGATCAATCGTGATCGCGAGATCGATCCCGTGTTGCCCCGTCGGTGGCGCAGGGTGTCTCGGCGGTGGCTTTGGATGTTCCGCAGTGGTGTCTCGATGGTAGCTCGTGAGATCAGTTGTGAGATCGATCGTGAGATTGATAGTGAGATCGATTGCGCGATCGATTGTGGTCGTGGGGTCGAGAGAACGATAGTGAGATCGATAGTGAGATCGATCACAACAGATCTTTGGCTGGGGGTGCCCTGGTGTGGCTGGGGGTGCCACATCGTGGTGTCCCGATGGTGTCTCGTCAGATCTCTTGTGAGGTCCATCGTGACATCTCTTACGAGATCGATATTGAAATCGATAATGAGATCGATAATGCAATCGATAATGAGATCGATTGCGTGATCGATCGTGATCGTGAGATCGATCCCGGGTTGCCCCGTCGGTGGCGCGGGTGTGCCCCATCGGTGGCGCGGGGTGCCCCGTCGGTGGCGCGGGGTGTCCCGACGGTGGCTCCGGATGTCCCGCAGTGGTGTCTCGATGGTAGCTCGCGAGATCAGTTGTGAGATCGATCGTTAGATCGATAGTGATATCGATTGTGTGATCGATCGTGACCGTGAGATCGAGAGAACGATAGTGAGATCGATAGTGAGATCGGTCACAACAGATCTTTGGCTGGGGGTGCCCTGGTATGGCTGGGGGTCCCCCATTGTGGTGTCCCGATGGTGTCTCGTATCGTGAGATCTCCTACGATATCGATGTTGAAATCGATAGTGAGATCGATGGTGCGATCGATATCGCAAGTGATAGTGAGATCCATGGTGAGGTCGATGGTGACATTCGTGAGATCGATGGCGCCATCTCATCATCTCATCGCACTCACAGTCATCGCAGTTGTTGTTATTGGGTTTTCCTTCCCCCCAAGACCTCCTTATCAGGCGAAGGATGGTCGTATAGGTATCCTCATCCTTTCCCTGACCATGGCGCGGCGAAGGTACCGAAGAGCGGGCCTACAGCTGGCAAACATACAAGGGGACATTTTCTAAAAGCTCTGCTACATTTTCACCGCGCCAGCCTCACAGCCATTGGGACGGATGGGGGGTCATGCTGGTAGGGGCGGGGGCGGAATAGCACGAGTGTCAATACTTTGGCCAGCCAATGCCGTCTGCGTCAACTTTTTCCCAACCCTCCTGTGTTGGGTTCTCGATTTTGAAAAGAGCAGTGTGGTTGCCTCGTCCTTCCTCCTCCTCCCTTCTCCTCCCCTCCTCCTTCTCTCCTGTTTCCTGTGTTCCCCTCTCCTCTTCTCTCGTGCCGTCGGGCTGCGATCTGCGCAACTGTCGACACTTTTGTGGGCTCCTGGGAAGCCAAGCGGAGGTACGTCCCACGCGGATCACCTCGGTATCTCGCCGCCCCCTGGGAGGCTTGCGATCTGCGCAACTGTCGCCACTTTCGTGGGCTGCTGGGAGGCCCAACTGAGGTACGTCCCACGCGGGTCACCTCGATATCTCGCCGCTTCCTGGGGGGCTTGCGATCTGCGCAATTGTCGCCACTTTCGTGGGCTGCTGGGAGGCCCAGCGGCGGTACGCCCCACGCGGATCACCTCGGTACCTCGCCGCCCCCTGGGGAGCTTGCGATCTGCGCAACTGTCGCCACTTTCGTGGGCTGCGGGGAGGCCCTGCCGAGGTACGTCCCACGCGGATCACCTCGGTACCTCGCCGCCCCGTGGGGGGCTTGCGATCTGCGCAACTGTCGCCACTTTCGTGGGCTGCGGGGAGGCCCAGCCGAGGTACGTCCTACGCGGATCACCTCGGTACCTCGCCGCCCCCTGGGGGGGCTTGCGATCTGCACAACTGTCGCCACTTTCGTGGGCTCCTGGGAGGCCCAACGGAAATACGTCCCACTGGGATCACCTCGGTATCTCGCCGCCCCCTGGGGGGCTTGCGATCTGCGCAACTGTCGCCACTTTCGTGGGCTGCTGCGAGGCCCAACGGAAACACGTCCCACGCGGATCACCTCGGTATCTCGCCGCCCCCTGGGGGGCTTGCAATCCGCGCAACTGTCGCCACTTTGGTGGGCTCCTGGGAGGCCCAGCGGGGGTACGTCCCACGCGGGTCACCTCGATACCTCGCCAACCCCTGGGGGGCTTGCGATCTGCGCAACTGTCGCCACTTTCGTGGGCTCCTGGGATGCCCAGCGGAAATACGTCCCACGCGGGTCACCTCGATACCTCGCCGCCCCCCTGGGGGGCTTGCGATCTGCGCAACTGTCGCCACTTTCGTGGGCTCCTGGGAGGCCCAGCGGAAACACGTCCCATGCGGATCACCTATGTACCTCGCCGCCCCCTGGTGGGCTTGCGATCTGCGCAACTGTCGCCACTTTCGTGGGCTGCTGGGAGGCCCAGCGGCGGTACGACCCACGCGGATCACCTCGGTATCTCGCCGCCCCCTGGGGGGTTTGCGATCTGCGCAACTGTCGCCACTTTCGTGTGCTCTTGGGAGGCCCAGCGGAATTATGTCCCACGCGGATCTCCTCGGTACCTCGCCGCCCCCTGGGGAGCTTGCGATCTGCGCAACTGTCGCCACTTTCGTGGGCTGCGGGGAGGCCCTGCCGAGGTACGTCCCACGCGGATCACCTCGGTACCTCGCCGCCCCCTGGGGGGCTTGCGATCTGCGCAACTGTCACCACTTTCGTGGGCTCCTGGGAAGCCCAGCGGAAGTACGTCCCACGCTGATCACCTCGGAACCTCGCCGCCCCCTGGGAGGCTTGCGATCTGCGCAACTGTCGCCACTTTCGTGGGCTCCTGGGAGGCCCAGCGGAGGTAACTCCCACGCGGATCACCTCGGTACCTCGCCGCCCCCTGGGGAACTTGCGATCTGCGCAACTGTCGCCACTTTCGTGGGCTGCGGGGAAGCCCAGCGGAGGTAACTCCCACGCGGTGACTGGGTGCTCCTGCTTATCCTCGAGGCCGCGGCCTTTTGCTTCCACTTTTGGGTTCTTTTCTTTGGGTTCGCTGCCGCGCCCTTTTGTCTCCACTTTTGGGTGATTCTCCGCCCCCGCTATGCACCTCATGCATTTGCATCTTTCAGCGCAGCGCGTTGCTGAGTTAATCCGATGTTCTGGTTTAGCCCTCGCCGTTCCCCGCTTTTGTGTTTCTTTCAACGCCCTTGTGCTTCCATCTTGTATGTTTGCCGTTCCTATTCTTGCTGCGCTGTTCCGATTTCACTCCTGAATGCTCTTCTTGCGCACTGCGGGTCCTTCAGAGTGCCAGTCAGCATTGAGTAGTCCTGAATATAAACGCCACGCGTATAAAAAAAGGGTTGGGTACGTCGCAGGGCAATGCTACTACTAAGTTCCAATGGCCAAGCGTTTCAAAATACTCCAGGCTAGCCTGCAAGTGCCCGCATACGCTTTCTGACCTCACTTTCAAGTCTGCCCTACTTTCAGGTCAACCTGCCAACCTCACTCACCATTGGGAGAGGTTCCGAGGACGGGGTGGCGAAGGGGTGGGTTTGGGTACGGATGTCACATCGCACCACTTCGCACAGGCCTGTCAGTACAGTCTGAGCCAGCCCATATGACAGTTTCAAGCCCAGTCACCAGAATTTGGACCAACAAGCCCGACAGCACAATGCGTCAGCCATACAGCTCTTGGCTTAATTTAAGCTAGCCCGTGCGACAAGATGGTCATACCGACTTTAAGCCTGCCTACTTTTCCAGCCAACCAGCCTGCTTGACCTAACGGATTGGGGAGACTTATGGTGGATGGGGAAGGGGAGCACCACTGACATCAATGGCCACCTCGGCCTTCGGCGGAGGGGCACCAGCCCCACTGTGGGCCGCTGAGTGCCAATCTCACCTTCCTCTCTCTCGCACCTTTTACGATATCAGAGCCCCGCCAATACAGCCAAGTAGCACCTGCTATCTCTCACGTATTGCCTGGCTCGCCCAATTCTGACCATTGGGACACTCCGCCCAACAACGAGCAAGTCATCACATTGTTCTTGCTACCTGCACGCGTATTTCGACCTACTGCGACCTCTCTTGTACGGATTCTCCCTCGGTGTGTTACGTTACTTTGTTTTGGTGCAGTGCTTTCCTACTTCCGCTGGCTGTCTGCGTAGTTACTCCGCACCCACATGGGCGCCTCTCATTCTAAGTATTTCTTGCGGCATCTCTTGTGTCCGCACTGGCCGCAGCCTTGAATTGTTACATACCACATGCCTAAGTATGCGCATTTATATTTTCTCTCAAGGAATGCAACAAGCGTGGCCTTAATGTCCGCCCAATGTAAGCAAGGAGGAGCAGGAGGAGGAGGAGGAGGAGGAGGAGGAGGAGGAGGAGGAGGAGCAGGAGCAGGAGCAGGAGGAGGAGGAGGCGGAGGAGGAGGCGGAGGAGGAGGAGAGCCCCTTCGGGCCTCTCGCTCTTCCTCTTCGGCGCGCCCGCTGCCAGCCACGCGCTGAAGTCCGGGATCTCCGAGCGGGCGGGCGTGGGCCTGGCCTCGAGGAGGGCCTCCTGCAGCTCGCCGAGGGGCTGCAGCAGCGCCTCACGGCATGCCAGAAAGGAAGACATCACCTTCTTCTTCTTCTGCTCTCCTCCTCCTTCTCCTCCTCCTCCTCTTCCTCCTCCTCCTCCTCCTCGGTTTTGTGGGACTCGGGTTGGCCTGACGGGGGACGTGAGGAACATGACGAGGCCCAATCTGAAACTTGACGCCCAATCTGAAACTTGACGCGAACTCCCGCTGCATACGTCCCACGAGAGCTGAACCGTCAAAATTCAGGACGGGCCCGTCAAGAAGCGGCGGCAAACCCGAGCGCGGCGAACTCGAGTCGTACGCTTTCCGATTGTTTTCCCCGCCTGCTCTTCTTGCTCGGCAGCCGCGTGCGCAGCACCGCGGCGATGTCGTCGGAGCGCAGCCGACGCGCGCGCGCCCGGAGGAACCAGCACGGCAGTGGAAGTAACCCCGACGGGGCACACTCCAGAGACGGCCTCACCCGCCCGCGGATAACCATGCAGGGCCAGACGGCGCAACAGGATCTCAGCACGCATCCCCCCCCCCACCTCCTCCTCCTGCTCCTCCTGCTCCTCCTACTCCCGCTCCTCCTCCTCCTCCTCCTGCGCCCTCTTCCTCCGCCTCCCTCCCCCCCCTCCGCCACCTCCTTCCTGCTCCACTTTTTTTGTTTTTGTTTTTTGTTTTTCACTGGGGCCATGCGGAGTACACCTCTGCTCGGCCACTGTGCCGCGCCGCTGTGGAAGTGCGCCTCTGGCCGTTGCTGGTCTTCGGGCCTCTCGAGCCTTCGTCCCCAAGCGGTAAAGTTGCAACAACAAATGTCACGTCTGCCAGCCCCGCGCCACAGTCATTACAATTCACACCATCGTTGGTTCCCGCCTCCACCGACCTCCGACCTAAAAAGATCCATACCCCCTTACGATCCTTTGACATCCCCGACTCCCAGCCGCCTTTTTTTTCGATCGCCATAAACCCTCTGTTCTACCCCTTAACCCCGAGATGCATTGACCCCTTCGACCTGCTATGACCTATCCTTTGCCCCCGAAGCCCCGTTCCCCTAGACCCCTGACCCTTGCACCTTCCCTTCTCTTCCTTGTTTGGCTGTCATCCCCGCCCCCCTCTCCTGACCTTCCTCATCAATATCTCTCCCGACCTCTCTGCCCTCTTGTCCACCCTTCCACTGGAAAAACGCCTCCCTTCTCTTCCTCTCGAGCGCATGCTGCAAGCCTACCGGGCCGCGGGCACCCCACCGGCAGACTTGGCGGGCTCTCTCTAGTCGGGCTGTGATTTACCCACGGCTTCCCGGCGACTCAGCGAGCCTTCAGCCTGCCGCAGGCAGGACTGACGAAATTGTCGTTGAACGCTTGTCGGGGGCGGGCTCTCTTCTTCTTCTTCTTCCTCGTCCTCCTCCTCCTCCTTCTCTTCCTCGTCATGCTCTCCTCCTGGAGGAGCCCCAAACGCCGGCCTGATGACGACGACCAACGGCGCTGACGGAAGCAAGGATCGGAAGCAGCGACTATGGCGACCCGCGACTGACGGCGACGACGACCAGCGACGACGACGACGACGACAAGCGGTCGCGCTTGAGGCCTTCAACAGACGGTCGAGGCCTCCCTGGAGCTCCTGCCGGAGCTCCCGGACCTCCAGCTGGACGCACTCCAGCTGCATTGAGTCCCGGGCGCGCCCCAGAGTGGCCCGTCCTTCGGGGGGCAGGGAGAGGGGGGGTAGAACGAAGGCACGATGGGGTCAAATCCAGACGAGGACCAATCTGGGGCACCTAACTTCGCGATGCGCGACGCGCCCTTATCTTCGCGCCTTCGCGCTCTCGCGCCGCCCCTTTGGATGAGGGCTGCCGCTCTGACCCAGGCCGCGACGCGCGAAGCGCGACTATCTTCGCGCACCTGCTGGTGAGTGAACAAATTCGGATAAGAATAAATTGGGAATCTCTGAGCGCTCTGAGAGCGTCCCAGAACGCTCTGGAGCGATCAATTCTTATCCTAGGCCTGCCTGAAGGAGGGGATGAGGGATAAGGTGTTTCGAATATCGTAATAAAAGTGTGAGGGCCACAGCCCTCCCAGTCGAGCCATTTCAGACCCCCCGCCCCCCCGACCTCTTGCCCCCCCCCCCCCCCATCCACCTGGAACCCTCTAAGACAGCTCGAGCCAGACCCCCTCTCCTAAATCAGACCTCTTCCCTGTATCATGCTTCTAAAGCCAGTAAGCATTACAGCAGAGGGGTGCTGTTGAGGGTGGCTCTCCCTCTCCCTCTCATGCCTGCAGGGTGGCAGTGAACAGCGCTCCAAGCAGGAACTCCTGCCCTAAAGGGAGGGTCGCAGGCGAAAGGGTCGGGGCGGCGGAGCTGGCGGACCCTGAGAAGCCCTGCTGTCTGGCGCTTATGTGCCAACGTGATGCGTCCCTCCTCCCCGCATCCCCCTAATCGTGCACCTGACTGAGCTGCTGGGCGACTCGCCCGGCAGGGCCACGGGTACATGGGGGGAGGATGTCAGAGGCCTACCACATTTAATCCTCTCTTTCTCTCTCCACATCCAGGGGCCCTCTCGCTCGTTGCCACTGCCAGACGTGACTCGAGAGACGTGCCCGAGAGGGGTCCAGGGATCGGTCCTGGGAGGACTCCGGCTGGGAGGTGGGGCCAATTGGTGCCGAACAATGCCGCAGGTGTGGTCTGAGGGAGGGGGCAAGCTTGTGCATTCACGCCGTCTGCGTCCCGTTCTCTGCGGCCTCCTTCCTACCAAACCTGTCGGTCAGTTTGGCACCCCGGGCCCTACATATTTGTACGCATTGTTGCGGGAGGGTGACGGCGAGGATGGGGATGATTAACAACTTTCCCAGACCCCCGACGTCGTATTTTTTCACGTCCTGCCCGGAGGTCTCGACCCACTCCCTGGGACCAACTTATCACCCCGAGTCGTTCTTGGCGGTCCCTGGGCCCAGCGAGGGCCTCCAGAGGCCGAACATAGCCACAACCCTTCCGTCGTGTTTTTTTTCACGACGCGAAGGGGTCTGGGTTATCTTCGCCCGAAGAGTCTGAATGACCGAGTGCAGAAAGGGGGGGATGAGGAGCGGGGGAGGAGTCGAGCACGCTGGCCGTCCGACAGGAATGCCTCAGTAGTATCGAGCATCAACGGGGGGAGGAGAAAAAAGGACACAGGGGGAGTAGCAGGGGAGGGGGAGGAGGAGAAAGAGAAGGATGCGGATGGGGAGGAGGAGGAGGAGGAGGAGGAGGAGGCGGAGGAGGAGGAGGAGGAGGAGGAGAAGGATGATGATGATGAGGGGAACGATCAGTGTAAACCCAAGACTCATCAACGATGTTAGATCAACCCTACCCCACGCTCCATCTTCATAGGCCATCACAAGGAAACAATTCCACTAAGGGAAGAACCCCGTTGGAAGACAACCGTTTGAAGAATCTGACGCGTGTCAAAACACCATCCTCGGAACTTCAACGCCACTCATCCACCTGACTCTTGCGTTCTGACGATCCTGAATCGTGCCAGAACACCACTCCTGGGACGTCAGCGCCGCGAACCAACGTAACTGTTGCGCCCCAACAATCGCGAAGTACGCTAAAAACACTTATTCTGGTACGTTAGCCATGGGAATCCGTGAAACCTTGGGAGTCTTTAAAACGAGTGTGACCGGCTAAAGCGATAACCACATTTTGAAGAGGAGCCGCCCTGAATACGTGAGGCTCTTGCAATTTTAAAAGCGATTGTGCACGGCGCGAAAACGAGAACCACATTTTGAAAACGACCCGCCCTCAAACCGTGACACTCTTGCATTGTTTAAACGAATCTGCGCGGGGCTACGGCGATCACCACATTTTGAAAACGACGTTCCCTCAATCCGTGACACTCTCGCAAATTATTTAAAGCGAATGTGCTCGGCGCTATAGCGAGAACCACATTTTGAAAGCCACCCGTCCTCCATCTGTGAAGCTCTCGCATTTTTTACAAACGAGTGTGCGCGGCGCCAAGGCGAGAGCCACACATTGAAAACCATCCGCCCTCCATCTGTGAAGCTGTTGCCAATGTTCAAGCTTCAGGGTCGTAAGCGGTGAGGTAGTGTCAGGCGAAACGCCTGGCCCACCCTTCCGACTGCCCTCGGGGGTCGACAGAGAACAATTAATCATAAAGAACCGGAATGGGGGGGGAGGAGGAAAAGGATGCGGATGGGGAGGAAGAGGAGGAGGAGGATGAGGAGGAGGAATAACACTGCCACAAGAAGAGGTCAGAGAAGGTCAGATGGAGAAACACGAGGTGCGGCTATCGGAGAGGAGCTTTTTGTCACCACTGTGGGGGGCGACATCCCAATGGGCCAGCGACAAGCCACACCCCGAATGAAAAGGCAAGCAAACGCAACGAACATGACCAAGAGACGGGAAAACGTCAGCGAGAAACGGTTGCATTTGAACCGCGGTTTATTCCTCACCCGCACCTGAAGACACTGGCTAATATATCCGTTGATTCCCTACCTAGGCTCTGCCTAGAGGGTTCTTACTCGCTGGGCTTAAAGGGGCTGGGCAGTGGGCTTCGCCCCGGGCGGTTCCCCCGGTCCCCGCCCTGCGGTTCCCCCAGTTGCGCCCCCTTACCTTAGCTTTGCGTATCTCATCTTAGCTTAGCTTAGCTTAGCTTAGCTTCATCTTAGCTTAGCGTAGCTGTAGCTTAGCTTAGCTTAACTAGGCTACAGCAACAGCAACAGCAAAGCACAGCACTAGCAACGCAACGCAAAAACAAAGCAAAGGAAAGGCAAACCAAAAGCAATGTGCAACAATACGATCAGAAAACCCACCCGGTGAGCGAATGCAAAAACCCGCGTGTGTGTGTGTGTGTGCGAAGGCAAAGCAAAAGCAAACCCAAGCAAAAGCAACAACAAGCAAAAGCAAAGGCAACTACGACGATGAGGAGAAAGAGGAGGACGGCGTTGACCGTTACTACTAATGCTGCTTTCCTAGGGGCTCCAACTCCTAGGTAGGGTCGCACTGGGGTAATTTTGGATTAGCGCCTGGTTCGGAGCTAGCTCAAGACTGGGACGATACATTGGCTGAGGCGTGTGTGGCGGTATCCAGATTACACGCGCACGATAACTGGCTAATGTATCAAGGATGCCAGAGGAGGAGGAGGAGGAGGAGGAGGAGGAGGAGGAGGATAGGAGGAGGAGGAGGAGGAGGAGGAGGAGGAGGGGAGACAGTCCGCGGCGATCCGAGAGGACGATTCCCACGAGCACCAAAGACAAATCGAGCACAGTGGTCGGACAAATCGTGCCCACGCGAGTGAAAGTCACCCTATCACTGCCCTGACCCGCGGGTCCCTACGTGCCAACTGTTGGAGGCGAGCCCGCGCAAGCCCCAACAGCCCGTCACGGTGACGGATGTCGTGATAGGCCTTGCACACGACATCGTAGAAGAGTGCAATGGACAAGAGGGCCTCCACGGGCAGGGGGAACAGGCGCCGGTAGCACAGTCTTGAAATGCCATTCCCGATGACAACTCATAGGGCATGTGAAGAAAAGCGATCGCAATCTCGTTAAACAGAGGGCACTCTATGATATGCCGAATGTGGTCACCCCTAGGCGTTCGACAAGCAATGCACGAATTGGCTGTTCCAAATCGCCCAGAAGGGCACCAGGAGTTCGTGAGAGTCCGCAGGAAGGAGGAACGAGAGCAGAGAGGGAGGTGAGGAACACAATGGCAGAAAATGATGCTGACGAGAATGCCTTCCTCGTCAGTTAGCGGCACGGCTCCACTGAAGAGCTGCGCCCGTCTCCTTAAGATCTCCCCGCACGGGTCGTGTGCAAGCGAGGCGAGATACCGTTCAACTTGGTGTTGCGAATGCCTGTTCTCGGAGGGGAGCGCGGGGAGGGTGGTCAGACTCGTGTAATTGTCAACCATGCCCTGGAAAAGAGGTTCCCACAGGGGATTGCTCCTCCAAGCTACCACGCATTCCCAATCATCTCAAAAATCAGCGAACAGAGTCATGTTATCCTGGAAGGCTTTGGAACGACTAGTGGCTCTAAACATGGCAGCCCGGCCAGCGTGCTCTAGAGACCGTGCTTGGATAGGAAACCCAAGGGAGCGGAAGAAGCAGAGGAAGGAGGAGGGCATGGCGTTCCGGGGTGGGCAGACGGCACGTTGCAGCGCCTCGCGCTCGATGCGTACCCCCACGGGACTAAAAAGGTAGAATGGGAAACATTCGTCAACACTGACAGGGCTAACATGTTATAATGGCTGAGGGTTTTCTGCAGTCTTAGGCCAAGCGCGCGCACCTGTTGCACGCGGGATTGATACTTGGTCAGGGGGGCGCGCCAAGTTTCGGACCGACACCCGTACCCGAGGATCACCCCAAGGTAGCGGCCATTCGAAGAAATCACAACGGCCAACTCGGGGTACCCATGCCGCGCAATCTCTTGACGGAAGGCTTCGGGGGAGAGCTCACCGAGGAGAACAACAACGGTCTTCCCTTCATTGAGGGCGAGGCCGAGCCCAGCGTCAGCCGAGGCTCATACCCCCAAGGATATGGTAATGCTCGCAGCGATATCCCCGGCCGATAAGCCAACGTCGTCGGCAAACACTCCAAATGTGGCGAACGAGGCGGGCAAGCGGGACGCGTGCTCCGGGGGAGGCAATCTATGCAAAGAGCGAAAAGGCTCCCAGAGAGCGGGCAGCCCTGCTTGATTCCCCGCCCTACTGAAAAGCCAATCCCCATGCATGCCCTGTACCTCACCTCAATCCAGACGTCCCAGTAGAGCACAAGGATGGCCTCGATCACGCACGCGGGAACCTCCATGACCTCCAGAACCCAAAAGATGGCGCCGTGGAGGAGGGAGGGGAAGGCAGCCCGCACGTCGAAGAAGGCCACTCCAGACTGGGCCATGCCGTGCTGGCAAAGCCAGTGGAGCGCCTTGGCCTCCAAATCGACGATGTTGTCGGTAATATTTCTCCCCAGTACAAAGCCTCTCTGTTACAGCGCGCACGTGACCATGCAGATGTACGACAGCGGTTGATTGATGGCGGTGGCGATTGCCTTGTTGGAGGAGGTGGAGAGGGTGATTGGCCTAGTCTTCTCGGCGACCCGCCTAACCAGAACCTCGTCACCAAGACAATCCCCTTTGGGCAAGAAAATCGCCGGACCCTAATTGAACCGATCTGGAGTAACGCCGTGGACCATAAGCTCAGTGTAGGTTGCGTACCAGGTTCCCAAAGCGATCGCCCCCCCAGCAACCCAGGCAGGGAAGGAGGAGGAGGAGGAGGAGGAGGAGGAGGAGGAGGAGGAGGAGGAGGAGGAGGAGGAGGACGAGGAGGAGGAGAGAGGAGGAGGAGGAGGAGGAGGAGGAGGGAGGAGGCCTGGGAACTGGGATCTCCTCTCCCCTCCTCCTCCTCCTCCTCCTCCTCCTCCTGCTCCCCATTTCGAAGGAAGACCTTCGTCTGCTCCGTGCGCCATCTGCGCTAGCGGGTGGCGGGGTTCCCCTTTGCCACTTGCGCTGCTGGCACCCCCCCAGACCTCCGACGTCGTGATCTTTCCCAACGCGCTCCTCGGAAAGGGTAGCGAGGGGGGCGACGTCGACTCAGCTCGGCTACGCGCAAGCGTGACCCCAGGCAAGATGACCTCTGGTGCGCGGCTTTCGGGGGCCGCGGGGGATCCAAATCCAAGCGCGCACGCCAGTGTTGGGGCGGGCACCCGTGGGCCCGCACCAAAGGTCCCCCCCCTTCGTCCGACCCGCCGGAGGTCCCGACCCTTTTCCAAGGGCCGGTCTTTCGTGCTGTCTCTTGGCGGCCCCCGGGGGGGCCAGGAACTGGCGCTGAGGAAACCGCGAGAAACATGGCACGAAAGCATCGGAAAGGGGGCCGCGGATCGGAGGCTCGAGGGCCGGTTGAGACAACGACGGCTCCCCCGCCCTGCCCAACTCCGCTCAATGTCGGTCCCCAGACCCCTCCTGGGGTCCTCAACTGCCCGTTCTTGGAGGCGGATGCAGCCGTGGGCCGCCGCTGTCTCGAAAGGGGCCATCCTCTCCGAGCGGAGGCATCGGACGACTCGGGTGAGAGTGCCGAACACGTCAGGGCTTACAACAGCCCAGACATCCTCCGATGTGATTTTTCCGATCCGCGGTGCCAGGGCTCCCAACTCCTTCTCTAGGGGTAGTGCTGTGTACCTGATCCCCTTTTGGTGGTCCCAGGGCCCGACCTGGTCGGGAACTTTTGCTCAGCGTGTCGTGGAAGCGGCCGCGGCGACACGCTGTGCCCTGCGAGCGGATAGCGTGTCGCTCCGCTCCGCGGGGCGGGAGGCTCGGAAAAGCTCGGGACGTTGACGCTGGAGGGCCGGGAAGTGGATAACGTGTCGTGCCGACATGCTGTGGGCCAGAACAGGCGGAGCGACACGCTGAGCGAAAGCTCCTGACCGTTACGGGCCCCAGAAGCCGAAATCGAATCGAGGCAAAGCACCCGGGTTGAACACATCGCATGGCGGGTTCCGGAAACCTTGAATCAAAACACCTTGCCATCTCGTGGGGTGCCGATTCTTGCTTCCGCGGGTTTCCGCCTGCGGAGGCGGCCTCGTTTTACTTCCGCCGCCTTCCGCCAGGGAAATGCAAGCTCCTTCGATCCTCGAAGGCGAGACTCTTCCTGGACTGTCTCATAACTATCCTCGGAGATCTGGGACGCTCACGGCGTCTGGATAAATCGCCGATGCTTCAGCGTTGCATCGGTGACGTCGGCGGTGTATGGGCGACGCCAGCGCGGAACAATTCGGGCTCCACGTCGAGCCGCATCGGCGATGCGTCGCCGATTCGGCGCTATCCTCCGACCCCCCTAGTCGGACCCCACCTGGGAGGCATCGAACAACGGGCCCTGGAAACCGAAATCGAGGCAGAACACAAGGACTGAAAACACCCCTGAGATTCGACGGCGCGGAAAAATTGGAACACCATCGACAAACACGGCAGGAGCCCTGAACCCTGTCTCTCTGTGGCATTTTTCGAGCCGGATCGATCCGTGACGGTCCCAAGGCCCGAAGCCTGACGAGCACGCCCGGCTCGAGAAACACGAGGCGCCAGGATCTCGTGGACCCTGTCCTCGGAGCTCTGGGAAACTCACGGCGCCTGGAGGTCTGGGCCACCCCCGGGGGAGAGGGTGGCGTGGCGCGCCCCGCGTGAGCGGACCGGCCGTCCCGGCATTCCTATAGGCCTACCACGAAATCTCCTTCGAACCCTCAAATGTGCTGATCACAAAAGCAATGCTGGCAGAACATAATTCCGATGTGTCAGAACAAGACAGTGCCAGCCAGAAAGGGTCTGGGTACCTTTTGTGCAGACCACAAATGGTTTTTAGAACATTCTGTGGTGGGCCTGGAGGCAAGCCAGGACGTCTCGCCACTGCTTGAGGCCCGCGCCCCTCGCCCCCGCCCTCCGCGGCGGAGAGCGGAGGACGGCAGGCGGCCAGCCGCGCCTATGGGGCGGCGGGCTCGAGCCCGAGACCGGCGGCGGGGGGCACGGGAAAATCGGCGGAGGGCGCGCCGAGGCAAGGGCCGCCTTCTTGGCGCTCGGGAGGGGGGGGGGGGGGGGGGGGGGGGACGCCTTCGTTGCCACGGCCCGACGCAGCTCGGAAAGCTGGTGCGTTTGGGCCCTGGGAGAAGTCTGGGGACGGATTCTGTTGTGGATCTGGGCCGCCGTTGTCTCACCAGCGTTGTCTCACGCGGCGAACCGCTGGATAAAGAATCCAGGGGCTGGAAGCCGGCAGAACTCCAATCGTGGACTGGCCATGGATAACATTGCCGCCCTCGCCGGAGGAGGAACCCTCTAGGGTCTGAAGCCTCCCGGGCGCATTCCTTAACGAACGCCCCCACCCTGCGGGACAAATGGGTACGACGCTCAACAACACATGTTGTCCGAAACCGACAACGGCCGCTGCTGGGCAAGCGGCCTTCCGTATCGAACGGAGAACGCCCGCGGCGGCATCGGCAGCACACCCAGTTCAGAATGGGCAGGAGCTGCTGTCGGTCTTCGTACCTCTTCTTTCCGTACCCATTCTGTTCGTGCCGAACGCGCCCGTCGAGTTGGGGGGGGTCCGAAGGTGGAGGGCAGAGGGAGCCCTCCGTACAATGGCTATGGTTTTCTTCTCCTTCCTCCTCAAGGCTGCCTGCCAGGTTACTCTACGCCCAACTGGACTTCTCATCTGCAGTTCTGGCTTCATTACATCTCGAATCGTCATTGAATCATTGAATCGGGAAATCGGGTCGAATCGGAATGTCGGTCAGACCGGGTCGCATCGACACGGAGACGAAACGGAATCGAATCGGACTGCACTGACAGAGGGGGGGGGGTCAGCGCACCGTGGCCAAGTGCGGCGGCAGGCGGGGTCGTGGAGCAGGGGGGGTAGGGCCCAACGACAGACTCGGCGCGAGGGAGTGCACGCGGCAGGCTCGTGTCGTGACGACCCCGGGCTTTTGCTTCTGGCACCGCGTGGATCGCTCAACCTTGAGCGATCGGCGGCTTGCCGATCGCCAGATCGTTCCGTGGTGGACGACTCTGGGCCGTTCGCGGCGTTCAGCCTTGAGCGTCCGCGCTGGGTCGCCGCCGCGTCGACGCGACGCGATCCTACCGCACGGTCTGACTCGTTGCTGCAATGGCTGCACCACTGCGCGGGTGTCTGGCACGTCCCTCGACCAGTGACACTGCCTCGAGGGCACACGCTCGGGGCGACCCCCGTGCCCCCGTGGGTTATAGGTCGGGCATGTCCCCCTACAGGCAGATGTCGGACGACAGATGAGACATACGCAACAAGTAGCCAACAAATGCTCAAACATACATCGAAACATCGTCCCCAGACTATTTTTTCTGACTGTTTCTGATCATGCCTACTGTAGAGGGACACGCCCGACTTAACCCTTGGGCGTGTGGGTGCCCCTTCGGGCGGGAAGACACCCGCGTGCGGAAGAGCGACTCGCACAGCGAGCAACAGGGTGCGCAGAAAGGGGTGGAGGGCCAGCGCATCGTGGGCTGGAGGACGTGCGCGGGCGAGGGGGAGCCGGGGAGCGTGTCGAGATAAGAAGACGAAGGGGCCATGATACATGGGAGATCTCGTGGCCCTGGCCAGGATTAGAAGAAGAAGAAGAAGACAAATAATAATAAGAAGAAGAAACGGCATAAGCACAAACTTTCGACGGTCTGGGCAAATTTCTAGGATCTGCGTTGGACCCCCCTCCCTGGCGCGCCAGGGGCGGCGCCGGAGGCGGCGGCAACGCGGATTCAAGAAATCCGCGCGAACCGTCGAAAGCTTATGTTTATGCCGTTTCTTCTTCTTCTTCTTCGATTGTCCCCCTGTTGCGCGCCTCCGAAGCGACGAGGACGGAAGAACCATCCGCACAATGCGCACCTCAAGAGCGCAGGCCAAGAGCAAGGGCCTCCTCGTCGAAGGGGCCCACGTTTACGGCGGGATGCCCCAGACGAGGAGCACGCCAAGGCGGAGGGCCCCGAGCGCGAGGAAAGCGAGGGGACCGCAGGAGGAGAGGAGGAGGAGGAGGCGGAGGAGGAGGAGGCGGAGGAGGAGGAGGGCCCGCTCCAGAGCTGGGGCTGCCCTTGACCCCCGTGCTAGCTGTGCAGCCCGGGCCCTGTGCAGCAGACGTGCCCCAGGGCGGCACGGTGCGGGGCTGGTCTGGCAAAGCGCACGGGGAAGCCTCGCTAGCGCCACCTTCGGGCGCACGCCGACATGGCTCACGGATCCGTGGCTCTGGCGCGCGGGCGCAGATCCGCGGATCAGGGCGGGCCCCCCCCCCCCCGGAGCGTGAGGCCAGTGCCGCCCGATTTGGCGACGGGGCGCGCCAATTTCGTATGGAAACGGGGCCCGTCGCTACTCCACGCGCCTTCATCCGTGGCTGCGCTTCCTCGGCGCCTTCATCCATGGCTGCGCTCCCTCGGGCGGGGCGGTCGCGTAGGCGCTACTTGGGGGGGTCGGGCCCCCCCGTGGAGCGGGCGCGAGGGCCGAGATGCGGCCACGTGCTCCTGCGCGGCAGCCCGCGCAGGCCGCCCTCCCGCCGACGTTTCTCAGCAGGCGTATCGGCGCAGCAGCGCGCCCTCGTCCACCGAGGCCCTCCAGGCGCGACGCGGGCGGTGTGGTGCAGGGCCGGCCTGCACCTGGGGTTCCCAAGGCAGTGCGGTGACAGACCGTGCGTTGACCTCGGGAATCCCCAACAAGACCTCATCGCACGGTCCGTCACCGCACGGTTCTTGGACCCTGGATGCCCCAATCGCCCGAGACGCCCTCGGAGAGCGGCCCAAGTTCCAGATCCCCGTGCGGTCACCCCGAACTCGCACTGAATCACCACAGGGTGTGGTCCGAGATACAGGCTGCGTGGTACCGGCGGAGCTGAACAGGCAACACACGCACACGCAGATTTGACTGACACGCGTCCTGAGAATCATCGATCCTGGCTCCTCCTCCCCTGGCCTC